AGGCTACTCCATCAACTCAAGGAGACTTAACAGCTACCCAATATGTAGAAACAAACACAGGGAAGCAGCCAAAATGCAGAGATAAAGAAACACATCACAAATGAAAGAAATGGAAGAAAGCAAACTATTGGATATAGAGTTCAACACCACAGTTATAAGATTATTCAAGAATATTCTAGAAACCTCTGAGGAACTTAGTGAGACCTTCAAGAATCTTAGTGAGAATGTTAAAAAAAAAAAAAAAAAAAAAAAAAAATATATATATATATATATATATATATATATATATATATATATATATAAAGAAAAGAAAAGAACCAGTCAGAAATTAAGCACACACTGACTGAAATAAAGAATAATATACAGGGATTCCACAGTAGACTAGGTGATCCCAAAAATCAAGTCAATGATTTGAAATATGAAGAATCAAAAAACACCCAACAAGAAGAGCTAAAAGAAAAAATAATCGAAAATATGAAGACAGCGAAAGGAGCCTCTGGGACAACTTCAAGTGTATCAACATCCAAATTATGGGGTGCCAGAAGAAGAGAGCGAGCAAGAAATTGAAAACCTGTTTGAAGAAATAATGACAAAAAAACTTTCCCTACCTGATGAAAGAAATAGATTTGCAAGTCCAGGAAGCACACAGAACCTCAAACAAGAGGAATCCAAAGAGGACCACACCACGACATATCATAACTAAAATGCCAAGGGCAAAAGACAAAGAGAGAATCTAAAAGAAGCAAGAGAAAAACAGTTAGATACTTACAAGGGAGTGCCCATTCGATTATCAGCTGATTTCTCAACAGAAACTATGCAGGCCAGATGGAAGTGGCAAGAAATATTCAAAGTGATGAATAGCAAGAACCTACAACCAAGATTACTCTACCTACTCATCAAAGTTATCAATTAGAATTGAAGGTCAGATAAAGAGCTTCAAAGACAAGAAAAAGCTAAAGGAGTTCATCACCACCAAACTAGTATTGTATGAAATGCTGAAGGGTATTCTTTAAAAAGAGGAAGAAGAAGAAAAAGGTAAAGATAAAAAATTATCAACAACAAAGTGACAAAAAAATAAATATCTATCAAAAAACGAATCTAAAAATCAACTGAATTAAAAAAAAAAACAACTGATGACCAAAATAAACTGGTTAATGGAACAGAATCAGAGACAAGGAAATGGAACAGACTGACGATTCTCAGAGGAAAGGCAGTGTAGGGGGATGCAGGAAGAGAATATACAAAAGATCTTATATGCTTGTTTGTATTACCTATGGACACAGACAAGAGGGTGTGGGATATGGTGGGAACTGAGTGGAAGGAGCTATGGGAGGAAAAAAGAGGGGAATAAGTAATAATCTCAACAATAAAGATTGAAAAAAAAAAGAAAAAATACTATACAAGCTACTTATTATATATACCAGATGCTTATGGATTTGGGGAATTATCTGTTCTCTGCTAAGAATGACTTTTCTAGTTAATATGCTGCTCCAGTGATGTCCTATCTTAGGCATTACCTCCTGGATCTTAGCATTCTACCTTATTATTCATTCATCTTTCTGAACTGCAATATGATAACTAAGCTTAGTTATTAAAATAATCTAAATCCTTCTGTATCTGAATGCATTTTTAAATCAACCTTCTCCCTCTTGCTTCAGTCTAAAATACAGTTTTAAAAAAATTCTTGTGGAGAAAAAAGACCCAATGCCTGTATAAAACATGAGCATTTGAGTCCTGTTAATCTCAAGCATATAATTATAACCAGGCAGGCAGAGATTTGGGTCAGGAGCCGATATTTTCAACCATCACTGTGTACAAAGGATTTTACATCAGCAGTATTATTGCAATCTTTAAATAGACTTTAAAAAAATACCACAGACTACAAGGAACCTTGAGAGGTCATTTCATCCCTTCCACCCCCCAGTCCCTGCTGCTGGGAAGGCGTGGGCCTGAGTTAGCCAAGAGAGGCAGTTTTCTAACCTTTCATCTCTTTCATTTCATAAGCTTCTTTGTTAACGTTTCTATGCTTCACACCACTTATTTTAGGGGAAATTTCTAAAGTCTAATGCTTTTACCTTGGCAAAGCTTTTTACCATTTAATAACAGGTTACAAGGATGACACAATATTAATATTAATAATAGTCATAATACATCAATAGAGTTATAAAAACAATAAAATCCTAAACTGATCAAGTTTTTCCAGATTTAGCAACCAAGCTCCTAGATAACTTATTAATATGGAAAAGACCACACTCATCTCTTAATAGCCACTCTATACAAAGAATTACACTTAGGGTGTTGATCAACCTTGAGGCTGAAAACCATTTTTTTCCGTAAGTAGTGCTACTGATTTCATTTACATGTGAGAAAACTGAGGCCCGATGAGTGTGACTTAAATCGAGGTCTACTGAGTCCAAATCTCCATTCTTTCCACCAAATCACTCTGGAAAACAAGAAGATCTTCATGTGGGTTATTTACCACCAGGCCATCTTGAATAGGGTTTGTCTGGGTGCAATTAACCAGTGACACAATAAAGGAAATCTTCATATGTTAGTTGCTAAAGTTAGGACAGATCAAAATGGCAATATACATTTCAGATACTTTGAGCTTATAAAATGTTATTAGCCAGTGTAAGGGGAGAGGAGAATAGGTGACTTACATTCTTCTGCACTGCCTTGTTTAAAATGAGCATGTATCATATACCATCTGATGATCAATGAAAAATATACCATCAGTGTTTTTACCTATAAATTAATAGGTTCTTTCTTTAAGATAGTATGATGAATTTTTTAAATTACAAAAAAGTACGGATAGTAAGCCTGGAAAGAGTACATTATTTATACTTAGAGAAGGATCATTTTGATTTTCAAGTTGGGGTTTGGTTATCAGTCTTTATATATTATAATATAATATGTCAGTACCTGCATAAACAAAACAAGTTACATCTTTATTCTTTTTCCAACAAAAGGAGGGGTGAAAGGAGATGCATTCCTTCTCCCAACTCAGAAATGAATTAGCTCTGCTCCTCCCCAGAGGATCTCCCTCGGTAAGGAGCCTCAATCCTTACTCTTGAGTAGCTGGCATGTTTAGGAGGTTAAGAGCCTACTCTCTGGAATCAGAGGGACACTCTTGAGTCTTTGTTTGCCACTGTTTGACTGTGTAATTTAGGACTAGCTTTTTAACATCATTAAATTTCAAATACCCTATCCATAAAATTGGATACCATTATTACTAAATTACAGTTGTTGTGAGAAATGAAATGATAATAAGAAATGTACTTGCAACAATGCCTGGAATGTAGGTACAATACAAACATTAAGGATTGTTATTATAATTACTATAGGCCCAGTGCACGAAATTCGTGCAAGGGGCTCGGCCCTTGCCTCTCTGGCTACCTCAGCCAGCCCTCACAGCCTTGGCCAGCCCTCGCAGGCTCAGCCTCTTCCAGGTCATTCAGACGGTTGTTCTGCTAATTGGTCTAATTAGCATAGTAGCTCTTTGTTATATAGATATTTATTCTAGTACTGAAATCCAGTTTTCCAATCTTATTATACATGGCAAGATTTCTGGATACTCCACTGATACAGAAAATTAGCTAGCTAAATCCTTTAATGTGCTTCCTTGGAGTTAAAAGAGTTTTCAAACTACAGCCCATTGGCCAAATCTGCTCCTCCCCTTCCTGCAAGCAAAATCCTGGCACACCCATTCATTTGCATAGGGCCTGTGGCTGCCTTTTCACTATCAGGGCAGAGCTGAGAAGTTGCAATTGAGATTTGAGACATTTATCCACCAACTCTTATCCTTCAGAAGCTGGTTGATCCTCTAGGGAATTTTCACCTTTTCCCATGCCAACACTTCCAGCCAATGGAGATGAATGAGATCTTTATGAATGAGGCTTTAGAGAAAACCTCAAGGTAGAAAAGTAGAAGTACTACCAGCACTTAAGGTGAAATTTTCTATTATAACTGCAGGTGGAATAAGGTAGTGTGGCTTGTATCACCAAGTTCTGTTCTACTTCCTAAGAACCCTTATCTCCATTAATCACTAGGTACCGCCATCAATACAAAAAGAATAAGAAATGCCAAACCAATTTCACTTCCTCCTTTCAGAATTTCAGTATAGATAATATGAAGGGAGCTAGATAAGTAAAGAGTAAATAGATCATTGCTAGCTGACTGCTATATTCAAAGAATGTTGATCAATCATACAAATTTCATTATATATGTACTAGAGGCCCAGTACACAAAATTAGTGCATGGAAACAGAGGGTCCCTCAGCCTGGCCTGCACCCTCTCCAATCAGGGAGGGATAATCAGCAATCGGACAATCATCTCACAATCCGGGACCACTGGCTCCTAACCACTCACTTGCCTGCTTACTTGATTACCCCACAACTGCCCCGCTGCCAGCCTGCCTGGTCACCGCACTATTGCCCACTTGCAGCCTCCCTGGTTGCCCCCTGCCTGGAAGGAAGTCAGGCATCCAGAAGATGTCCAGTCACCCAGTCTAATTAGCATATTACCCTTTTATTAGTATAGATTCCTTTCCTATATATTACATGGAAATGGTGTGTCTGGAGTTGTAGCGAGCAGCAACCTTACCTCACATAGAGCAGCTACTCATCAAATGTTTAGGAAAGAGACAAGAGTAAATGAAATATCATGAAGAACTGTTTGATCTAAAGTATCAGGGATTGTTTTGCCCCTCGGGACACATTTGGCAATGTCTAGAGACATCTTTGATTGTCACAACTGGGGAAGGGGCTGCTATTACAATCTAGTGAATAGATTGTAACAACGTCCTACAATGTAAAGGACAACTCCCCTCTCCCCAACAAAGAATTATCCAGTCTCAAATATCAGTATTGGCAAAACTGAGAAACACTGACACAGATATAAAAGTATATATATGCATTTATAGAAACATAGTATTTCTCCACTTCATAAAGTTTGTTTATAACATTAAAAATCAATGTTTAATCACAAATGATTTGTCTGTCCTACATGCCAGCAATGCAAAGTGTTGCATTAGTACCACCAAAACCAAAGGAATTGGTGAGTCCAATACGTCTTTTCTCAGTTTTCCATTCCTGTGCCTTCAGTGGAACATAATTGAGATCAAATTCTGGTTCTGTATAATCCAGGTTTAAAGTAGGTGGTAGTTGTCGGTAATAACACGCCAGAGCAGTAAACGCTGCCTCAACCGCCCCTGCAGCTCCCAGCAGATGTCCCGTGGCTCCCTTCGTTGAGGAGATGGCGAGGGCATGAGCATGGTCTTTGAAAAGATGCTTGATAGCTTTGTTTTCAGCAGCGTCTCCTAGTGGTGTGGAAGTAGCATGTGCATTGACATAAGATATCTCTTCGGGCTGTACATTTGCATTCTTTACAGCAGCAACCATACATCTAGTAAAATAACACAAGAAATTTATCAGAACTAAGTTTAATTTTAACATGCGGTTCATTATCTATATGGCTTAAATGAAAGAAATACCCAAGTACACTGAATGAAAATAATCCTTTATGTCTAATAACAGAATGCCATGTTAGATTACCATGTGAGTTAGCATGCCATGTGCGTAGAAATAATGAGTCCCTCCAGTACCTAGGACTAATTCATCACCAAGAGATAAACATATAAGCCTATCAATTATATAATCGCTAACAAAATATATGCCGAAACCGGTTTGGCTCAGAGGATAGAGCGTCGGTCTGTGGACTGAAAGGTCCCGGGTTCGATTCCGGTCAAGGGCATGTACCTTGGTTGTGGGCACATCCCCAGTAGGGAGTGTGCAAGAGGCAGCTGGTCGATGATTCTCTCTCATCAATGTTTCTAACTCTCTATCTCTCTCTCTCTTCCTCTCTGTGAAAAATCTATAAAATATATATATATTTCCATTTATCTGAATTACTATTTTCCCTTGAGGAAAAAAACAACACATTGATTCCAATTTTTGTAAGGATTTTCAAATACTTGAAACATATTAAAGCAAAAAACTTTGTTTAGTCTAAAAATGAAACAAAAGAGATACCATACACTAAGGCCAGACAGTACAATTTCCCCTCACTTAACACTCCAATAAAATGTCTTATTTGAATACAGATTTTAAATAAAAAGAAGGGGAAAAAAAACAAAAAAAAACAGTCTTTACCTTAAGGCACCTTCTCCTTCGGAGTCGGGGGCAGTAATGTGACCAGCATCACCTGAGAGTCCATAGCCCAAAATTTCTGCATAGATCCGGGCTCCTCTTTGAACAGCACGCTCATGTTCTTCCAGCACCAGCACAGCTGCACCTTCTCCCATGACAAAACCATCTCTCTTTGGATGAAATGGTCGACATGCTAACTTAGGATCAGGGTTTGTGCTCAGAGCACGGGCTCTGGCAAACCCAGCAAGAGATAAAGGGCTAATGCAGGAATCTGTACCTCCAGCCACCATCACATCAGCATCACCATGGGCTATAAATCTAAAAGAGTCTCCCACAGCATGAGCTCCTGTGGTACAGGCCGTAGATACTGCATGATTAGGGCCCTTGAGTTTATATCGAATGCTGACCTGGCCTGCTGCCATGTTGACCAGAATCTTAGGGACAAAGAATGGGCTGACTTTATTGTAACCTTTTGTCTGAAACATCAAAGCAGTTTCAGAAACAACTTCCAGAGGAACCATTCCCATGCCAATTGCAACACCCGTAGCCACTTGATCAGCCTCTGACTGAGGATGCCAGCCAGAGTCTTTCAGGGCTAACTCTGCAGCCCCAATGGCCATAATGGTGGGGGAAGACATGGACTTGATATCTGATTTGGAGACAAAGTTTTGTTCATTGAACTGACCTTCATCACAACCTCTTGGCACAAAAGCAGCAACACTGCAAGGGATACTCTTATATTCCTCACCAACCAGTGAAATAATCCCACTCTCTCCTCGGATCAGCCGGTCCCACACCAGTTGAGTTCCAACACCAAGAGGAGTCACTAAACCAATGCCAGTAATGACAACCCGCCTGTGCAATCTGGATGTTGGCACAGTCCCAAAACACCTCCTTTTATTTCTTATTAATCGGTGGCATAATCCTGAATGTAGAAGGTGAGCGTTTGTGATTTTTATGATATTCTGCAAGCAGTTTGAAAACATGGTTGAGATTCAGATGATCAGAAACACATTCCAGTAACAGAGCTGAACAAGCCCAGGAGGTACTATTGTTTTAATAGCTTAAAGGCCAAAGAAACAATATCCACGGTGTTCTTTCAGGTGCTTGGTGTGAGCTGTTAATGAGCACAGAGAAAATAATATTACATCATTTTAACTTTTTAAAAATTGTTAAATATATTTCTTTAAAATTTCAGAGAGGAAGGGAGGAGAGAGAAACATCAATGATGAGAATCATTGATCGTCTGCCTCCTGCACGCCCCCTACTGGGGATCCGAGCTCACAATCCAGGCATGTGCCCTTGGCCGGAATGAATCTGGGACCCTGAGACCCTTCAGTCCGCAGGCTGACGCTTTACCCACTGAGACAAGCTGGCCAGGGCTACATCATTTTAATTTATACCTATCCCCAGACCACCTGTTTTGACTTAACTTTCTTTTTGGTCTATAAGTATCCCCAGAGATTACAAGACAAAGAGGTGAAGTGATGATTCATTCAATCCTCCTAAGTAGAATCATACACTGAAAAACATAAAGATACTCTGAGCCTGATATGGGCTGCAGAAAGCATACTTTTTTTCAGGATTACCCAGCCTTATTCTAAATATGATAGCATTTCTGGTGTCAGGGGCACCAAACACACTTCAGGGCCTCTTCTTTGAGGTGGGAATAAGTGGACTTTATTGATCTTCAAAACGTGGAGATAACCAGAGTTTCTGGGACCAAGAAGGCCATGGGCGGGGAGTAAAGGGGTATACCCAATCCTCCGCACCGCGTCCCAAGCACCGCACAGGCCGGAAGAAAGCAGGGGCGGGGAAAAGAAGTAATTAGACTCCCCTCTCACGATCCGATCCCGACCCCATTTGGTGGGGGGAGGGCGACATAAAAGGAGAACCCCGCAGCCAATACCTTCCACTAGTCTTCAGGCGACACGCGCAGGCGACGTCCTGAGCAACTATGCGCGCGTGCGCACGCGCGTTCACGTAAATCCGCGCAAGCGCGTTCACGTAAGCCCGCGCATGCGCGTGAAGATGCAGGCCTTTGTCGGAGTCCGCACGGTAGGTGTCCTCCCCCCCGCGCCACCTTGGCGGAGGTCAGACTGCCGGAGGCGCCGGAGAGGGTGCTCCCGCCAGCTCAGAGATTCACAGTAAATCTTGACCTTGCCTCACAACGGGATTTTCTATTATCTTTGTAATGATAATGCTCACATAATCCCCTGTTGGAGAAGGAACACCACCCTACTCTACTGGGATCCTAGAGAAAAAGGAAATTACTGTAGCCTTAACAGTATTAATGTGCCTCCTAGAGTTATAATAGTGAAGTAAAACTAACCAAAATGCCCAGTACTAGGGAATGGGTTGTGTATTTTGTAGGTACATCTTAAGTGCTGTGCAGCTATTTAAAATAATTTTATAAATGAATATTAGCACGGAAAGATACTAAAACTATGTTAGGAGATACAAGTTACAAAAAAAAGTGTACCCATTTTTTTCAAGTTGTTTTTTTTAAAGATATACAAGGGTGTACAATGATTGTGATACTATTTCCCCTACTTTTATTTTTGTTGAGCCTTTTTTACTATGTTTTCCACAATAAATCATGCAGTTGTGATAATGCAGTTATTTTTACGTTTGGGGAAAAACTGTTGCTGGATCTAGAGCAGTGCTTAAAATATCACACCCAATATCTGCCAAAAAACAAAACAAAACCAAACAAAAAACAGGCAACAGAAGAATGTATAAGTTTATTTCTAAGTGTCTGAAAAATGCAATATCTTTATTTGCTCAGAGCTGGCTATGAATCTGTGAATAGAAAATATAATTTGTAAATATTTTAAAAGGGAAGAAATCATCAAAGTAGCATTTAAATAACCATCTCTATTGCTCACATGCTCTCACAAACCTCTTTAGATAAAGGATTGACTATATAATCTGCATCTGAACCTCCCAACAATCTTTTTTTTTTTTTTCTAGGCTGTTTCTTTTTATAATCCTCACCTAAGGATATGGTTTTATTGGTTTTAGAGAGAAATATCGGTTGATTGCCCTACATATGTGCCCAAACCAGGGATTGAACCCAAAACCTAGGTATATGCCCTGGCCTGGAATCAAACCTGAAACCATTTAGTGAATGGGACCATGTCCCAACTAACTGAGTCACCCAGCCAGGGTTGGGCAATGTCTCTCAAAGTGATTGCTTCCAACTAGAGAATTGTTCACTGAAACCCAGGATGGCCTTAAGTCATACTTGATCCAGTGCCCCTTCAGTCACTTACTAGTCACTTTATTCAATGACAATACAGTTACTTTGAATAGTTATAAAATAACTTAAAACTTGATGATAATAAGTACCCAAACTTCCTCTCTTTTCATTATAGTATATTTTAAAGTCATTGTGAAAAGACCTTCAATATTTTCTTTAAAGCCAAAGTTATATGAAACAGTTTTAATGTGCTTTTATTTATTTTTATAATATTACAAAATCATCTTGGATAAGAAGTGACAAATCAATTAATATCATTGGGGGGAGGGAGTAAAACATACACACACACACACACACACAAAGTAAAACCACAAATGTCATTTCATTTTTAATTCTACCTCTGATCTCCTTTCCTTTCGTTTGAATAAGAGTGAAAGTTTATTATATTCCTCACTATATAACACCAAGGTTTTTTCTTGCATCAAAATCTTCAAAAGTGCTCTACTTACCATGGTCTCCGGATTCAGATTTCTTAGATTTACTTAAACATTTTATAATCTTAATTCAAACTGTCTTTCCAGATATAATAGGTCCCATTATCTATTAAATAAGATTTCCATCCAGCAAAACTGATCTCACTATCTTTGGGTTTACTCTAACTTTTCTTTTTTCATCTTTGTACTTTGTTCTTACTTTTGAGAAATTGATAGTCAAGAGGGAGACAGCCATAGAAGCAGGTGTGTAAACTACTGAAACAGGTGCTATCATAGAAAAATGGAGTTATTATAACACAAAGGGGACAGGTACATCAATGCTACCTCCCAAGTTCAGGAAAGGCTTCAAAAAAGGCATCCATGAGCTGCATCTTGAAAACGAGTAAATGTTTGACTAGTAAATTGTGTGGGAAACAGCATCCTGATAGGTGGAGTAGAACCAAGGCCTGGAGACATAGTTATCTGTCACAAACTACTAGTATTCAATTTGGCCAATACAGGATTTGAGGTATGGGCCAAAACAACAGTACAGTAAAGGAGAAGTAAATGAGGGGCCAATCAAAACATTTCAGGTGTCTTGCTGAAAATTCTGGATTACAGCCTGAAAGTCAGAGATGACAGACTGGCAGTTCGGGGCTAATTTGTACTGCACTCAGTTATTGAATCTAAATTTCTCTAGGAAAGATGCCATGAACTTACTCTCTTCACCAGGGTCTCTGTTACACCTTTTTGACTTGAACAAAGCCACTTCGTACATGCCAATTCTTCAAATGCTTCAACTCTTCTCTTGCTGATGGTCTTTATTGAGTTTAGCATTTTCTTTTTTATGACAAAACCAATCATGGGGGGAAAGTAATGGTGTGGGTTTTGTGGTGTTTTCTTTCTTTCTTTTTTTTTCTATTCCATTTAAGAATAGTGTCACCATGTGTCAATTCTAAAGATGGTGCTTTAAAGCTAGAATCTGGGGGAAAATTCATTATTTCTGAGGAAAAGAAAACCAAGTAAAAGAATGGAAGGTCAAAGCTGAATTAATATTAGGACATCCTTTAGTTGTCTGAAACAATGGGTATAAAGAGATTAAGGGTAGCTTCAATTTTCGATTTTAGTTCTAAAGGAAACTAAAAATATCAAGGTATTTTCCACTTGACTTAAGTGGAAGAAGCAGACAGGAAAAAAGAATGAGTCCAAGAACTTTGTAATAAATTACCTTAATACCTTTCTAAATGGTGGTGACCAAGAGACTGTAATTACTCAAGAATTTTAACAGAAGTGTTGGTAAAGAGTAATTTGAAGGATTCAAATTTTAGATGATTTAAAATAAATAAATTACATAATTACCCTTGAAATGATCATTTTGATGATTTTGTGGATGTATTTTATTATCACTGTATTAAGTCCATGGCATTGTTTTTCACACTGCAGTTGCATGTTCCCCACAAAAATACTGTACAGCCATGATGGCATTCTGTCCCTCATATACAACACACATACACACAGACACACACACACACACACACACACACACACACCCCACTCCTTCAATTCCAGAGCATACCACTTTGGTGTTTTGTATATACTGGGTTTCCTCCTAAGATTTTTTTTTAAAATGTCTTCCTTTAAAAAAAAATCATAAATACTATAAAGTATTTAATAACCTTATGCAATTTATTATACAACTTCTCTTAAGAAAAATTAAGAGGAATATAATTTGTGGAAGAAACAGCTAGTTATAACCCAGTCCCTCAAACTTCCACCTTTATTATTGAGTGCTGGGCAGTACCTGTCCCAGACAGGGACTACATTTCCCAGCCTGCCCTCCTTTTATCTAGATGGGGCTTCATTTTTGCCAACAACAGGCTAGACAAAAGCTGTGTGTCATTTCTGAGCCCATGTAGTTAAGCAGGTAGGCCTTTTTTCTGGCCCCCTATTAACCAAATGCAGAAGTCTCTGCATTTAGCAAACAACAGGTCAAATCCGGCAAGCTACCTGTTTGTATAAAATAGAGTTTCATTGGAAACAGCCAAGCCCATACATTTTAAAGCAATGTCTATGGAACTACAACTGCAAAGATAGAGTGAAATAGTTGAAATAGTTGGAACTATGGCCACAAAGCCTTAAACATTGACTATCTGGCCCTTTACAAAAAAATATTTGTTGACCTCCAATTTATGGGATGGAAAGAGCCTGGATCCCTGAAGCATTATATGGAAGAAAGCTGCTTCCCCACCACCAGACTAATGACATGTGTATTATTAAACAGTTATGTGAGCAAGACATTTCTCCTGTGTTAAATCACTGAACATTTTAGTTATAGCAGCTAGCAAGATACTACTAGTTAAACACACTAGTTTTGGAAGCTGGTCCAAGCCATATATGAAAAACTTCTTACAAATATCTGGCAGGTGAAGGGTTAATTGAAGTAGATGGCATAACCTGGGCCTTGCTCATAGATACTGGAAGAAATTTTGAAATTTTAAAAGCAAACAAAAGATAAGTATTAAAAACATTTAAAGAAGTTACTTAGGCAAGTAGCTGCTCTTAAAAACCTAAGGTCAAGACAAATATTTGTTGAGGTTAGGAGAGGAATTTCTGCAAAGAAGGAAAAACATTTTTAAGAACTATGAGCAAGGCAGAGAGAGAATGGATTAGAGAGGTTAGGATTCATCTTCTGAAAGAAATAATGGCTACAGGTCACATGACCAACCTGCAAAACAAAGTCATAAAATAATACCTTTCCTATGTGGGATGTGTATTTTTATTGTCTTTCCTCTCATTTCTTTTCTATTGTGTGTGTTTTTTGCTGGTCACACCAGAGGTAAATTGAGCCTACAAAAACACTATATTGCCACCTGAGGTCTGAAAAGCACTTGTTTAAAAAGCCATCATGTTATTTGCGCTGGGACTTAGGTAAGACATTTCAATCATTGATCTAATTCTAGAAATAACTGCTATACCAGAAAGAGTTTTAAAGCTACTGGGTTGCTTTTGAGTGTTTGTTCCCCTGGTGTCTCACCGCACCTGTCCAGGAAGGCCGGGCAATCTTTGAGAAGGAACTGTAAGACTGTTTTATTGGGGGGACAGCGGTGGATGGAGGTACAGGGCGTTCCCCCACTTCCCGGTTGGATCGATTTCAGTTGAGCACCACCTGGCACGCTGTCAGTCCTCCCAAGCCCCGGTCCCTCACCCTCTGGCACTGACTGACCAGCAAGCACCCTTGTTGTGATTTAGCACCCTTTCTGGGTCACAGTCAGGGCCCTGCCCTCCTGGTCAAAACCCGGGGCTCCCTGGAAACATCCCCCACCCCACCAAAAAGCCAAGCACCCCGCCCCTAGAGACTCGACGCCCCAAACCCGCCCCTCCCATCCCTAGATCCCCTGGTCTCCCTCCTAGCCAAGCCCAGTCCGCTGCCCCTCCCGACCAAGACCCGCCCCTCTTGGCGGAACCCCCGGTCTCTACCGAACAGCCCCCCCCCCCCTCTTTGCCCTCCAATCCCGCTACCCTCAGACCAGGCCTCGGCTTCCCCCGCAAAGGTCAGCCCCCGGGCCCCTCTCCAGACCAATACTCGCCCTTCCCATCGGGCCCTCGCCCTCCCCCTCCAGGAGACCCCGGTCTCCCCGCCCTTTCCATCTGCTCTCGCCCCCCACTTTCCAGGCGACCCCCCACCCCTCCTATCAGGCTCTCGCTCTCCCTCTCCAGGCTGACACCCCTCTCCCCGCCTTTTCCATCGGCTCTCGCCCCCCACTTTCCAGGCGACCCCCCATCCCTCCCTTCAGGCCCTCCCCTTCCCCCTTCAGGCGACCCCCCACCCCTCCTATCAGGCTCTCGCCCTCCCTCTCCAGGCTGACCCCCCCTTTCCCCGCCCTTTCCATCGGTGGCCCTCGTCCCCCCTCCAAGGGACCCCTCCTCTCCCCACTCCTCCCATCAGGCCCTCCCGATCCAGGGGAGTCCTCCGCCCCTCCCATCAGGCCCTCCGCGCCCCCACCTCCTGCCGGCAGCCCCCCTCCCCGCTGCAGGGGCCCGGGGCGGCCGCGCTCGGCGCGCGCTCAGTGCGGGGCTCGGCGCGTGCTCAGTGCGGCCGCGGCGCGCAGGGGGCGGTGACGCCGGGCGCTCAAGCATGGCGGCGGCGGCTCTGGGCAGCTCCGCGGCCTCCGCGTCCCCGGCCGTGGCCGAGCTCTGCCAGAACCCCCCGGAGACCTTCCTGGAGGCCTCCAAGCTGCTGCTCACCTATGCGGACAACATCCTCAGGTGTGGCCGCGGCGGCGGGGCCTCATAGCGGGGACGGGCGCGGGAGAGGCGCGGCGCCCGCTGGGCCTGGGGGTGGGAGCGCCCGCCCCGGCCCGGAGGACGGGAGGCCCAGAGTGGGGGGGGGGGGGTGTGTGTCTGGCTCCGGTCCGGGGCGCAGCCCGAGGGGCAGGTCCCTGGAGATCCGGCCAGGCCCCACCCCCGCCCCGGGAGGGGAAGTTTCTTTGCACTTGGAACTTGGCATGAAGTCGGGGTGCTCGGGGTGAGCTGGAGGGCCCGCGGGCAGGGAGGGCGGGGGAGTGGGGAAGGGGACCCGCAGACCCCTACCTGCCTCGGACCCGATGTGTTTCACATGACAGGACAGAAAGCTAACATTCCCACTGCCTGCATTCCCACCCAGCCGGATTCCTTCCATTTCCAGATGCTTATCACACGCTAGTCGCTGGCAAAACGTCTTCCTCCTAACATTTTGTGATTCTACTAAGCGCACAATACTGAATTAGTGGGGGTTTTAAAACCCTTCTATGGTGTGTGGGGTTTTTTTTGTGTGTGTGTTGTTTTTCTTTCTTGCCCACTTTTGTTGCGTGAACCATGATTCGCCTCGTTATTTTAAAGTTACCATTTTCATGTTAGCATCTGGGTTCCACTTTCACAATGACTCTTTAAATACCAGTTTGCGAAGATCATCACCCACGGATAAGAGTAGCTTGTTTCATTCTCCTCTGTGAGCAAAAAGCACAGCTCCAGGTCTCCAAAGGAGTCTTGCAGATTGGGGGAACAGGGAGGCAAGTTTGATTACTCATGTGGCATCGTTAGCTCTTGGATCAGATGCTGTGTCCTCAGCAGGGACCTGGTGTGCAGGGGAGGGAGAGGGCACTGGCTTAGAGGAACGCCAGGTACCAAGGGCCTTTGGGTACTTATTGCCTCATTTATCAGGTCAGGATTGGTTAGCTAGGTTCTCAGTGCCCCCCTAAACCCCTGAAGCACTCTTCTCAGTGGTGGGTATCTTGGCATGAAGTCTAAAAACGAAATCCCTGTTCATTTCAGGTTTATAGAGGTCCTGTGCCATTAGCTACACGTGCAGCGTTTTCACCCGTGGCAGTTAACAATAGTGGTTCTATAGGTAACACTAATGACTCAAAAGTAAAAGAAAGGAAAAATCATAGTGAGCTCTAACTATGTGCCAGATGGGATATGGGCTGCAGCCTTTGCACCGTGCACAGCTGCACATTAGCGACCTATGTGGGGACCACCTTCCCCTCCTCTGTGACTCCTTTCTCAACTCATCTTCACCCCAAGGGGCCTAACAGCTCTTCAGAATGCCAGGGTGCCAGTGGACTCCGCATGAATGAACTCATAGGTGGACTTCTCCGGAGCCCCATCAGCTGGGACCTCCCTTGTGGGAAGCCACCAAGCTATTTAAACGCCTCTATTCAGAAAAGGGGAGTGACCCTGTGATGAGGATTTACTTCCGCTTTCAATGCGATGAAACCCCAAAATTCTAAGATGAAGGTAGTTTTGAGGAGGGAAATCCTTTGCATGCAAATGTCTTGGCATCATAATCATCATTATGAATGTTTACCAGGATCACAGAAGACACTGGCAGTGCTGTCAGTTCATGCTACGGCCTTTCACTGGCTTGTGTTTCTGACCTTAAAAAGTGTCTATCTGAAAAGGGAATTAGGAGTTTGGAACTAGTATAACAGGTGATGGCATGAAAAACTACCCATTTTCGTTGGTCGTAAGTAATAGTATGAGTGTCTGCCCTCATATTCTTAGAATTTAAACTATTTCAGGTATGGGTGTGGAGGGGTGGGAACTATTCTTTATCTTTCAAGTCCAGTGACCTGCTAACCTCTTTATTTTTATTTATTTGTTTTACATATGGTTTTATTGATTTCGGAGAGGAAAGAAGAGGGAAAGTCAGAAACATCAATGATGAGAATCATTCCCCAACTGCCTCCTACAGCCCCCTACTGGGGTCTGAGCCCTACAACTCAGGAATGTGACCTGACCAAGAACTGAACCATGACCTCCTGGTCCAAAGGTCAATGGTCAGCCACTGAGCCACACCAGCCAAGCTGTATGCAAATTATTTCCTGCTAACCTCTTTAGAAAGCTTCAGATGTATTCTGTATTTCTAGCCACACTACATTACAGGTTTGCTCATCTAACTTATTTGAGGGTTGAGAACACCAAGGTTTTCTGTTCTTGTTGCTGTTTGGGGAAGGAAACCTATTAATGTGAGGGATAAGGCATTGTGTAAGCATTGTCTTGATATCCCTTGCTCCTACCCCAAGGTCTGATATAGTATTTTATAGAATAAGAGCTGAAATGAAAATTTCATTAGGAGAATTTTTTTTGTTTTGTTTTCACAATACTTGTCACTATACACAAGTGAAAATAATATTTTTGGTTAAGTTTTAAATTTCTGTTTTAGATGGTGTTTTTCCTATTTCCCAGCTGAGTCATAAAGCTAATGAAATTGCAGAATAGAATCATGCTAATTTGCAAGCACAATAGGCCATGGATTTCAACCTTTTACCTTTTTTCACTTCACTAACTTATAGATAAAGATGATCTGTGTTCAGTGATATCTACTTTAAAAAAAAAAACATTATAGTTTCACTGGCATTCCACATGGTTTTCTAAGATAATTTGTTCTTTTTAAAAATTTAGATTTTCCACTAATTTCCTTATCAAACTTTACATAGTTATTGCTTAGGAAAGCACCTATATGATTGGGAAACAAGAATGGGAAGTGGTTTTTTTTCTTTCAAATAAAATAAATACATTTGGGGAAAAGACAAGTTATGGAAAATAGCCTAAAATCTAGAGAAAAATTTCCATGACAATGCTTCTCACATATTTATGTGAGGAAACAACAGAGGGACCTAACACAGAACAGTTTTGAGAACAGAATTTTGATAAGAGATAAGATGGGTCCAACTGATGGAGCAGCAGAAAACTTGTATTTGGCATGATAAACAAGACAAAGTGATTAGTTTCTAAACTGAAAGAGGAGCATATGAAGGAGTTTTGAGGAAGCTATCGCAGTAATCATAAGGGTAAACATGGATAGAAAGCAGAGAGAAGTATTATAAGTAAAGGTGGCCAATTTTGGATGGTTGCATGAACTGGCAATGTGAGGAGACATCAAAATAACCTCAGATTTGTAATCTAGGTTACTCTCAACACCTTGAGAGAAGGTAGTTAAATGAGGATTGGAAAGTTTGTTGGCATCTTATATGGTGGGGAATATGTAAGGTTTGTGATCAGGCTGTTTAAGTGACCTACAAAGCAACTTTTGTGATTAGTAATGACTAAGTTTCTATTTATGTGAACCCTTCCTGGTATTTTGCATTTCAAAGAGGAAGAGGGCTGGTAAATGACCAGATATATTTAATTCTCAGTGTTTCTGAAATAGAGAAAAACAGCCGAAGCCGGTTTGGCTCAGAGGTAGAGCGTCGGTCTGCGGATTGAAAGGTCCCAGGTTCGATTCCGGTCAAGGGCATGTTCATTGGTTGTGGGCACATCCCCGGTAGGGGGTGTGCAAGAGGCAGCTGGTCGATGTTTCTCTTTCATCGACGTTTCTAGCTCTCTCTCTCCCTTCCTCTCTGTAAAAAATCAATAAAAAATATATTTTTTTTTAAAAGAAATAGAGAAAAACATTTTTTCTTTTTTTCTTAGTTGTGCTTACTTCAGTGTGAAGCCTATTGTTAACATTTCTTAAAATCTTAAAATATAGTAGACTAGTGGCTCAGTACACGAATTCATGCACATTGAAAGGAAATTAATTAGGAAAAAAAAACATTTTAATATTGTTATTCGCCCTTTCTCTATAATAGAAGTATCAACCAAATTAATGATTGATAATGACAGATGGAAATACGCGGGCGGTTGGTGCCAGCAAGATCTTTATATTTACTGTGCATGCATGAGCAAACTTAGCCTTTTAAATATATAGAATAAACTTGCTTAATTAGACCTGCTTTCTGACTTAGCTATTTCCAGCCTAGTGAAACACCCTAACTTATCTTTTAGGTAATTGTGAGCAACACAGCAGTAAATATCAACACAAAGCAGATTATTATTGTAGATCATGCAGGGAGAACAAAGGGTAAAATATTTAACTGCAGCAGTATTTGACTATATTCTGCGCAGTAAGAAAACCTGAAGTCATTTCCAGGGTCCACCATTTCTATTTTTCAGTCGGGTCACGTTTCTAAGCTTTCTAAATCTGTTTTCTGGCTAATGAAAATAGGATTCCACCGAGTCTTCTATCTCCCTACCGCAGGACTTATGTGAGGATCAAATGAGATGAGGCACCGGAAAATGCTTCACAGACATTTGGTTAAAGTGTGAAATGTTTCCACCTGGCTATAAAGCAAGTTGTGTTCCTGGACTGAAGGAACTCCAAGAAGGCTAGTTGCTAGGGAGAGGAAGCCAGGCATTGCTACATGACATCATTATCCAGACTGTTGGACACTTAGCATATTCGCCTTTTATATGTGAGGAGAAAAGCATGACTTCCCTGCCATTGCAATAGTAAAAACAAAGACCCCTTTCCCCCATAAATTTAACAATTTGGTAGATATTGGGGGTGAGACAACTTGGAAAACATCAAAATATGTTCAAAGTTGTGGTTGAGTGAGGTACCAGAAATTTTGCTCCCTTTCAGGACCCCATTCATTCACCGTCGTCATCCTACAACACCCATCCCTAAAAAAAACTTGTAAAGATGCAAAATAGTTGATAACAAGCAAAATAAATATTACAACTTGCAGAGATAGTCAGTGGTCAACAGAGATTTTTAAAAAAGAAAGAAATCTGAGAAAAGTCTGCAGAGGAAATTAAGTTAATGGAAGAAGATCAAACAAAAATAAAGGTGATTCTTAGGAATACTTTAGACACTATAGGATTAGAAGACTAGTAATGAGGTCAAGAATAGTAGACAAGCCCTAACTGGTTTGGCTCAGTGGATAGTGTGTCAGCCTGTGGACTGAAAGGTCCTGGGTTCAATTCTGGTGAAGGGTACATGCCTGGGTTGCTGGCTTGATCCCCAGTATGGGGCATGCAGGAGGCAGCTGATCAGTGATTCTCTCTCATCATTGATGTTTCTGTCTCTCTCTCCCTCTCCCTTCCTCTCTGAACTCAATAATATATAGTTCAAGGGGGGAAATGGAATTTTATGGATATGAGGTCTGATGATGTCCATATAACCAAGTTTTCTCAGCCTTTGAGTGCTTCCGGGGACTTTTGGCATTAGTCTAGGCTCAAAACCATGATTGGTCTGCTCAACATTTAAAAAGAGGAAGATGTGATTTGGGTAACTGGACATTATACTGTAATTTTGTTGTTGTTGTTGTTGTTTGCAATTTGCTTTTAGTGGGAAAAACAGATAAATGATATGATAAATCTATCCATGTTATACAGATAGAAAATTGCTCCCTAGAAACTAAAGAGGAAAAATCTAAACTATACAAAGCCTGTAGCTGAGAAGCTTTATATCAACAGTTAGTTTGAAACATGTATAAAAATAAGCTATATCAGAACAGTGGTGAAAGTGGAAAGAAAAAATAGAAAATGAAGCCCAGTGAAGGACATTGATCATGAGAAACCTGGAAGCTATTGAGAAAAGGTAGACTGAAATAGCTCAAGCAGTTTTGCAGAGGTAGAATATATCATCCTGGAGGTATTGATGTGTTTATTACATCCTGTTGAAAGTGTTGAAAATCATGGAAGGATGTATAATTTATCTGTAACTAGCTTTGATAATGGAGGATTATTTTCCAGTTCAGTGTTTTTTGTTTACATGGTAAGAAAGAGAGGCACACTTGTGATATAGTGTAGCATAGATGCCAAGGATGCTGAACCCGTGCTGTGCCCAAGACAACCTCTCAACATAAAGGCCTCAACTTTTAGAAATGCCTAGATTTAGAAACCTTTTACTAAAACACAGAATGAAAGAATAGAATGTAGCTTTTTCTTTTGAGGTTCTCAACTATGATTCTCAGATGAACGGGAGTGAATAACCATTGTTTGTTGTTTTTTGAATTTCCAATCTTGTGAAGCTAACATTTTTATAAAATACAATGAAAATTTCATGGCAACGTCAAATTGTTATAAAAATTGCAGAATATTCTCAATTGTTTTACTTCTAGTGAATGGGTTGCAAAGCATTTGTAGGTTAGCACCAATCTGTGTGGACATTATGAGAATTTTAGAGATTTTTGCCTAGGAATATTCTGTAATTTGTATAATTTTTGAAATTAAGGAAAAGAGGTTTAAAAACGATTCATATAGTATTTACAACAATTGGGCAGTATGGAATTGCTTGATGCAAAAGAAATGTGAAATTTATCAAGACTTCCACAATTAAAAATTCTTTTGGAGGGTGTTTTTATATCATAATATTCAGAGAGCATGTTTAGTTAGGGCAAAGACAGTCAATCAGTTGCTAGCATCCCCCCTCACCACCAGTTTCATACCCCCTCTGCAGAAGGCCTCAAAACTTTTTCCTATGGATCTCTGACATAGCACCAGAATCCTTAATATAATCCTAATGGAAACCACCACCATTTATAAAGAGTTGTTATCAGACGTAAAACCTACTTATCCTAAATTATGTTCTAAAAATAGAGTATAATAGTGTGATTACCTTAATTTTGTATTTTTTTTAATAGTCTTTCTGATTTATCAAGGTTCTTAACAAACTCAAATCAAAGCTTTTCATATGCCAGTCTCATCACATGTAAACTATTCAAAGTCTTAATCATGGTCAAAGAAATTCATATTTCCATTTTACCACCATATTTGCTGTGACAAAAATATATCTTAAGCTGAAGCAGAACTTACAGTAAATACAGCTAATCATTGTTTAGGAAAGAAAGAAAATCAGGTAACTAAAAGTATACCTAGGTTCATGTTTGTCAGAAGTAGTCTTTGGGGAACCGTGATCCATTTTATAGCTTCTTAGTTTCTTTTATTCATTTATTTCGTAAATGTTTATTAAGCACCATCTATGTGTCACACCCCATTCTTTTTTAAAAAAATATATTTTTATTTATTTCAGAGAAGAAGGGAGAGGGGGAGGGAGAAAGAGAAACATCAATGATGGGAGAGAATCTGGCTGCCTCCTGCATGCCCCTACTGGGGATTGAGCCTGCAACCCAGGCATATGCCCTGACAGAGAATTGAACCATGACCTCCTGGTTCATGGACCATTACACTCCTTTCTTAATGATTGAGATTCATCAAAACAAAATAGGCAGAGCCTTCTGCTGTCTCTCTGGAGCTAGCTGAAAAGGATTTTTTCCCTAGCAACCTAAAAACTCATAAAGATTTCTAGCTTTAATAGCACAGGATTAAAATATCACATGGATTTCCTATGGCAGCATTAATATTTTCAGCTGTGAATTAAACAGTGAGGTGGTTGAAATGTATGGTGAGAAAAAAATCACCAAATCAGGCACTTGTCCAGACTGTGCTCCCCGTTTCTTATAAAGTTGGGATTTAGCCTACCTTGAAGGAATATAGCTAATACAAAATGTGAAAAGAAATGCAAAAAAAAAAAAAAAAAAGTGAAAAGTATTAACTATTACATATAGCATGTAATCAGACTTTTTTTTTTTTTTTAATCAGAAACCCTAATGATGAAAAATATAGATCTATCCGGATTGGAAACGCAACTTTTTCTACTAGACTCTTGCCTGTCAGAGGAGCCGTTGAATGTTTATTTGAAATGGGCTTTGAGGAGGTAAGTCTGTTCAAGGGTTTCTTCTCCTCAGTTCATGTATGAAGCATGCATTATTGTGTTGATGGATAATGACCTAAGTTAGATTAATATTTTTAAAATTAATTGATCATTGGGGAAATCTGTGGGACTAGTTATTTCTTCACCTATTAGACAATTAAAAGTAACAATAAGTATATTGTAAAATCACAATAAAATGTAACAAATTTCCCACAGGGAAAAGTCTCAGTCTGAATTATGAGGTCAGACATGCAGCTCAAGGAAGGACCAAATTCTAGCTCACTTGACTTTTAGCAAAAAACCTGATTTGTGAGCACATATGAATATAAATAGGATAGAACCACCTGATTCAATAAGAAGTGAAAGATTAAAACAGCTCTAACCGGTTTAGCTCAGTGGATAGAGCGTCAGCCTTCAGACTGAAAAGTTCCAGGTTCAGTTCCGATCAAAGGCATGTACCTTGGTTGTGGGCACATCCCCAGTAGGAGGTGTGCAGGAAGCAGCTGATGAATGTGTCTCTCTCATCCATGTTTCTAACTCTATCCTTCTCCCTTCCTCTTGTAAAAAAAAATTATAAAATATACTTTAAAAAAGAAAAGATTCAAACAGAAAAGCTGAGTTTAGTTGCCAAACATAAATTCTGTAACAGGAGAAAAATCTGTTGTTTTTTTTTTGTTTGTTTTTAGGTCAAGAGAAATGTATGATGTTTCTATCTTCTATCATTTGTGGCATAGTTTAATTTTATGACACAGTGAAAGTAGTAATCAAGATTGTAAATTTTCTTTATGTGTATATGCTCAACTACTTATAGTTTGTGGAATACTGAAAAAAGTTGAACCAGGTTATGGAGACTCAGTTGTCAGTAGCAGTCAGAAATGACCAGGCTGAAAAAATTATTAAGATGCTAAGTTGCTATAAGATATACTTTCCTTTCTGCCTCACTGCTTGCCTCCCCATATTCTATTTCAGACCTTAAGAATATATTGGTAAACTAGGTAGATCTACATCTTTTCTTACATGAATCTTGCATTTTAGTAGGTTAGACAGATAGTAGACATGAGAAGTTAGAGGGGACATTTTGGGTTGTCTTGGCGACTGAAAGATATTACCAGCATTTAGCAGGCAGGGATCAGGTTTGTTTAACCTCTGACAACAAGAATTATCTCAGTGAAAATGCATTGAGAAACAAGTTTGTTAAATACTAGAATTCTCATTGATGCCTTAAAATGTTATTGGACCTAGGACATTAGCCTATAATTTTTTCCTTTAATGAAAATATAGTGCTGTTGATTAAAATTGTTTGGTTTAGACACCCTGGCCATAATCATGTTCTGTTGGAATTGGTCTTAAAAAGAATGAAGGGAAGGGAGACTATGCATGAGCGCATCTCTGTCTTATCAGGGTCTGTCTTCTCAGGGGCTCTCTGACCTGTGGACAGACATAGTCCCAGATACTTTTCCTGCTATTTTCCATTGTTGTCCATACTGTCAACTATTTCTCTCAGTGCTCCTCCACTGACAACAGTAGGAGATCTGAAGCCTCCATATTTGGATTTAAGCCAGACGTCTGGTTTCTCTTCCCAAACTTCATCAGAGATGTGAAGTAGTTCCTTCTAATGTTGGAAAAATTGTGTTCCAATTTGTGACATTCATCATGTAGATCTTCATTACAACTGTAGAAATATTCTCTATTTGCTCATGCCTTCCAACTGTGCAAATGTGGTTTTTGGTCTCAGTTCAGTCTAAGTTAGAGTCTGTAATAGTCTAATGAAAAAGATCATGCAGTTTGAATTCTTGTTCTGACAGTTCTGTAGCATCAGGCAGGAATTTAACTTCTCTAAGCCTTCATATCCTACATAATAAGAGAGGAATATGCTAATTATCCATTAAGCTGTGAGGCATAATGACTGACCATGTAATGACCGGTTCATGGATCTGCAAGAGGGTGGGGCAGCAAACTACAAACAGGCGGCAGAGAACTACAGCCAGGGCAGCAAGCAAGTGGGAGGTGGAGAGCCACAAGAGCGGGCAGGGCAGCAAGCTATTGGGGGGGAGAAATAGGAGGGTGGGGCAGTAGACGGAGAGCTAAAGTAGGGTGGCAGCGATCTACTGGCACACAGATTCGTGTGCAGGGATACTACCCTGTTTCCCAAAAAATAAGACATCCTCCGAAAATAAGACCTATCGTATGGAAAGATAAGACCTTCCCTGAAAATAAGAGCTAGCACAGCTTTGGGAGAAAAAATTAATATAAGACATTGTCTTATTTTTGGTAAAACAGGGTAGTTTTCATATAAAAGTGGAGATTAACCTAATGCCTATTTCAGGATCGGTCTATCAGGCTAGTTGTGAGAATTACTTTAACATGTGTAAAGTGCTTAGCACAAAGCTAGAACACATTCTATATAATAAAAGCCTAATATGCTAAGTGTCCGGTTGTCCATTCAACCAGTTAAAGCGTAATATGCTAATGGTATGCCAAAGCTGCTCAACTGCTCACTATAACATGCACTGCCCACTAGGGGGCAGACAGTCGACCAGTGAACCAGTTACTATGACATGCACTGGCCACCAGGAGCAGACACTCCGATTGGTAGGTTAGCTTGCTACTGGGGTCTGGCCAATTGGGACTGAGTGAGATGGGCTCAACATACCCTGGAGCCCTCTTGCTGGCCTCCCCAGCTGGCCAACCTCCCATGTCCCTCCTAGCCCCAATCATGCCCTCTCATAATCTGGGACCCCTTGGGCCACGCCAGGCCGAGGACCTCTAGGAAACACAATAAGTGGAAATAGCCTCCTTTTACAGCTATTATGAGCAATGTATGGAGTTTGCTGGTCTCTCAGGTTTTTTTTTTTAATTGATTTTCATGTCATTAATTAATGTTTTGGTCAGTTAATTCCTCCAGGTCTGCCATCACCAGGAAAATAAGGTTATTCTCAATTGTTGAGTTAATTTAAATGCTTACAGTTTTCAAGTCCATCTATTGCACTTTGTAACAACTGTTTTATCTCATTTGCAATTGGTAGAATTGCTGTTGTAACACTGCTTGCCGCTTCTCTACACCTTGAAAAGTGATTCTATTTTCATTTCATCTTCTTGTTTTGTAATTTGCTATTTTACATTGTGAGCTTTGTTATAATGTTTATTATATCGCTAGCATTCTGCTAATATTATAGATATATATTAAATGAATCATTACATAAATAATTGGATTTTTATTTTTTAATATTTTGTTTTATTTGGACCAGACATATGCTCTTAGTAGGCTAGTGTATGTCAACTTTTATTTTTCTAATCCTTTACGTGTATTATTGTTAACAATCCATGATTTTGAATTGACCATTAGGGTGTACTTTGTGTTATTTTGGTGGCATTAATGAAGCCTATATACAGACTTCTAATCATGTAGCTATTCTCTAAAGACTTGGTTTTAGAAGATTAAAAAGTTATATATAAAAAAAAAAAAGTTATGTAACTTCTTGTTGGTCTTATGTGACCAGTGATCATTTGGTATGGCTGTATCTCTAGTATCATTATTCATGGGGAATGTCATAGAGAACAGTAATTATCATATGCTATTGCAGGGAAGATAGGAATATGCATATTTGTAACTTATGAGGCTTTCTGACTTAGTAATCCTAAAAGATAAACACTTTTCTAAAGGTTCTTTGAACTAATAAAATAGGCTTATCATTATATGCTAACAAGAAGACAAGTTTTCTTGTTTATGTTAGGCATTACTTTTGTAGATTTAAAAAGTGCCATATAATAAAACAATGATTATTAAAATATGATATTTTCGCCAAGATTGGTTTGGCTCAATGAATAGAGCGTCGGCTTGGGGTCTGAAGGGTCCCGGGTTCGATTCCAGTCAAGGGCATGTACCTTGGTTGTGGGCATATCCCAGTAGGGGGTGTGCAAGAGGCAGCTGATGGATGACTCTCTCTCATCGATGTTTCTAACTCTGTATCTCTCTCCCTTCCTCTCTGTACAAAATCAATAAAATATATTTTTTTAAGATATGATATTTTCTATAGTATTGGCTTCATTTATCCATATATGTATAAGAATGACTATTAGTATTAAGCAAAAATTAAAATTTTTTCTAATTTTATAAATTCCAGGGAGAAACACATCTCATCTTTCCTAAAAAAGCTTCAGTGGAACAGCTGCAAAAAATACGTGACCTGATTGCCACAGAGAGAAGTAGCAGATTGGATGAAGCATATAAGAGCCACATGGGATTATCTCAGCAACCTGCAGCCAGTATCCAACTTCCTGCAGCACAGGCTTCAGACCCTAATGGGTTAACCCAGCATGTAGCGGACAGTGCAGGGCAGCCATCAAATCCACCATTTGCTCCAATGGTAATGTTAGAATTAAACCTTTCCTAACTGTTGTTTATAAAGTTGAAACAGCAAAAGCTCTGAAATCTTTTATGACTTATTCCTGAGTTTGTGTCTCAGCTCTTCTAATACATCCAAATTTTCCCAGCTCTAAAATATTCTCAAATTTGTAACAAAAATGGGGAAAATGGATGTTTGTTATTTATTCTTTTAAATCTTAACTTGTCTTTTACTGCTTCTTAGAGTAAGTTTTGTTTATTAATATAAATGTACCTGTACAGAAATGCCTTGGTACTTTAAATCAGTTACACAAATTAGCATATAACCTAAAACAAAGTAATGAACTTATTAGACGGTGGTATGGCTGTCAAATATTTCCTCTACTGCATTGATACTTCTGATCTAAAATTTACCTGCTGCCATTCACCATAGAAATTATTAATTCCAGCAACCTAACCATTATCATTGCCTCAGTTCAATAAAAAAAAATTCAGCTTTTTTAGTTTTAAGGTAAATAATGCATTAATTTACTGGTAGTGGTACTAGCAAATTATTGATGTTTAGTTATTAGCATATACAGATATACAGTTCTGAAGAACTGAAATCAAACCACTGTTGTTTTATTTAATAGGAAATTGTCCTGTTTACAAAAGTCCCTTTGATATAGGTCCTTAAGTATTTTCACTATAGTAACTTATCAGTAGCCAATTTATACTCATATTCTCTTATTTTAATTTTTTGAAAATATATTTTTATTGATTTCAGAGAGGAAGGAAGAGGGAAAGAGAATCATTAACCAGCTGCCTCCTGCACACCCCCTACTGGGGATCGAGCCTGCAATTTAGGCATGTGCCCTTTGACTGGAACCAAATCCAGGACCCTTCAGTCCTCAGACCAACACTCTATCCACTGAGCCAAACCAGCCAGGCTCAAAGCTTGTTTTTAAAAAATAAAGAATAAAAGTGGTAGAAACTGGAGGAAGAGACCATTACAGTTCTATTTTATAATTCTTGTTGAGTTGGTTATATCATGTGATTTGACAAAATACACACTTTTTTTTTTCTTCGAGGTTCACTCTTGTGCCTCAATTGACTTATATTAACCTTTAAGTTTTTAAAATATTTTCTACTCATTAACATCATAGCTAATTTTTTTTAAAAAAAATATTGATTTTATACAGAGAGGAAGAGAGAGGGATAGAGAGAAACATCGATGAGAGAGAATCATCTATCAGCTGCCTCTTGCACACCCCCTATGGGGGATGTGCCCGCAACCAAGGTACATGCCCTTGATCAGAATCGAACCCGGGACCTTTCAGTCCCCAAGCTGACTCTCTATCCACTGAGCCAAACTGGTTTCTGTACAGCTAATTTTTTTTATAATAAAAAAAGCCTATATACAGACTTCTAATCATGTAGCTATTCTCTAAAGACTTGGTTTTAGAAGATTAAAAAGTTATGTAAAAAAAAAAAAAAGTTATGTAACTTCTTGTCGGTCTTTATATTATAGCTGTAGCTGGTGTTTCTGAACGCTTCTAGGAAGCTATTAGTTGATAGTATTGGATAAACTAGTATTGGTGCTAAGTGACTGTAGGCATCAGATAAGATAGCATATGTGAAAAGATAGCTTTGTGAACTGTAAAGGACTTTAAAAGTTTGACCGGGAATCAAACCTGTGACCCTTCAATGTGTGGTCCAATGCTCTAAGCACTGGGCAACACCAGGCAGGGCTCCAGTGGACCATTTTGTCCAGCTCCCTTGGTGTGCTTAGGCTGCTTTGGGGTACTGTTTACACAAGTAAGTCTCTTACAACTTGTTTTCCTTATTAACACTATTATTGAACCTCTTATTAAGATAACAGTCTTCATGCTGCTAAATTTAAGGGATTTAGTCACTTTATATTTATCTGACCATACATAGTTTTTAGCTCAGTTAATCATTTTCTGGTTTTCTTTTCTTCTGTAACTAGTTCAACTATTGACACCATTGCTCATATTAGAAAATCTGTGGATCATGCCTATGTGTTTTTCTACTTTTCTAACTCCTCTAGCCCCACAGTTCAGTCACCAAGATTTGTTGATTCTACTTCCTAAGTTCTTTTTATATTCATTCACTTTTCTACCACTACTATAACCACCTTAGTTTAAGCCACCAGTTCTCTCAAGAATTTTGCATTTGTCCCCCATTGGGGACAAATTTCATACCTGCTTTTTCTACACTATAGCTAGATTGATAATCTGATAATACAAATTTGATCATTTTATTATCTTGCTTAAGTCTCTTTTATAATATTTCATTACAATGGAACGAGGTATGAAAGATCCAGCTACTTACCAACGCGACTTTATTTTCAGCCTTTTCTCTACGATTTTCTTCTCTGATTCTTCACTTTATACTGAGCATAATCCCAATTTACATGCTTTACCTACCTACATGCTGTTCTTTGACAAGAATGGTCTTTTCCTTTCTCTGTTTATGAGCTGCTTCTCATTATTCATATTTTACCACAAATGTCATATTCAGGGAATTGTAGGGTCAGAACCCTGTTGAAAAGTCTCACTATCCTCATTCTTTGCTTTATAACTCTTACCATATCTATGAATAAATTGTCTAACTTACCATTATATCCCCAGTACCTAGCAAATAATAAAAGGTCATTAAATATTTGAATAAATGAAAATCATTTTTGTCAGTGTTTTTGTATCCATAGGCTACTTAATCTGAGAGGGTAATGTCCTTGTCTATTATGGTCTCCATTACTTTTTTATTGATTTCAGAAAGGAAGGTAGAGGGAGAGAGAAAAACATTAGTTATGAGAGAGAATCATGGATCAGCTGCTTCCTGTAGGCCCCACAATGGGCATCAAGCCCACAACCCGGGTATCAAACTAATGTTGTCTCAGTCCTGATTGAATATCGAACCATGACCTCCTACTTCGTAGATCAATGCTCAACCACTGAGCTATGCCGGCGGGGCTGGTCTCTGTGATTTTTAACGTTTTGTTTAATGCCTCTCCACTTACACCATAAAGCGATCAGGTCTGTCTGTGTGCCCATTCCCAGTGCTTCCTAGTAACACAGTGCCATCATTAAAAGTATTTGGCAGCCCTGGTTGGTTTGGCTCTGAAGTATTTGGCAATTGTTTTTATTTCTTTAAATTAATCTGTCTTTACCTTTTAATACACTTCCTATAATTAATAACATGTTTGAACTTAATTTCTAACATTTTATTTTATATTTTCTATGTTCTCGCTTTTTTGGCTCTTTAAATCTTTTTTTTTCTTTTTTAATATCTTTTTTCCTATTTTTGTTTTGTTTAAGTGGGCTCTGCCAAAAGTAATTGTTCTTAGTTTGGACACGCCTCTTTCCTTTTAGGAATCTAAGCATCTGCCAGCACTGTTCAGAGGCACATTCTTTGTTGACAAGAAGTGATGGGGTGAGAGGGGCAAAATGTCTAAATGTTCCTCCTGCAGGGCCCCTGCAGCCTCCCTAATGCTTGCTCCACAGCCTCTTCTTGCTCTGTGCATTCTGTGGCTCCTCTGCCTTCGGGATTATTTTGAGAACTCTTCTTTAGTTTTTGTAACCATTCTCTCTAGAGGACATATTACTGTGGTTTCTTCCTTTGCTAGTAATTCATTTGTATCTGCCTTTCCTCTCTAAGAGTATTTATCTTTGCTAATGCTGAATAAAGTTTTAAAAAATTATATTACTTACAGGAATTTGATGTGGAAAGGGCTGTTACTTGCATTGAACAGAGCATTGTTATGGTCCAAGCTTGTGGTCAAGAATTCATCACACCCCTGTTTCAATATATCCTCAGTAATATAATATACTAAGAGGGAAAAATATATGTCTTAGATTATGACACAGATATGGCTATTTCCTATTAATTTTGTAAAGGTTTTGAATATAATTATTTCAGTAAATTAATGTGTTCCTCTTTATGAAATATAACCAGTGTTTTTTATGTTATTTTTAAAGAATATGGAGAAAAACTAATTTCTGGTGTGTGTGTGTTTTTCTATTAGGTTACTGCTGACTCAATCATTCTGAAAGTTCTTCAGGCTAACCTGCAGCATGTGCTGGCCTATGAAAATCTTGCTCTCCAGCAGAAAGCATTGGCTTGTATTCCTGTCCAACAACTGAAAAAGAGAGCTCAAGAAAAGTTATCTAGAGCTAGAAAATTGGATAAAGGTAGTGGCTTTACATCACCACTCATTGCTTAAAAAGCATCATCTATACTATAATAGGGTAATATGCAAACTGGTCAGGATACCATCACATAACAGCTGAACATCTGGAGGGTAGGGCAGCAAGCTACCTGCAGCAGAGAGCTACAGAGGGGCGGGGCAGTGGGCGGAGAGCTACTGGAGGGTGGGACACAAGCTACACAAGGTGGATAGCTACAAGGAACACTGAGTGGGGTTGAGGCAAGTGGTAGAAAGCTACTGGCATATGGATTTGTGCTTAGGGCCACTAGTTGCTAAATAAACAGAAATACTAAATGGTGCCTTTTGCTGTATACGTCATAAATATCTAATCTATTCCTATGTGGGTTTTTAAAGAATACAATAACAGCATAACTTTATTGCATATAACTAATGAACACATCTATTAATATTTGGGGGGAAAAAAACCCCACAAACTTTTACAACTACTGGAGTGGCTCAGTGGTTGAGTGTCAACCTTTGAACCATGGGGTCATGGTTTAATTCCCAGTCAGGGCACATGCCTAGGTTGTGAGCTTGATCACAAGTGAGGGGCATGTAGGAGATAGCCAATTGATGATTATCTCTCATCATTGATGTTTCTATTTCTTTCTCCTTCTCTGAAATAAATAAATAAATAAATATATTTAAAACAAAACAAAAAACACTTTTTTATGCAAAAATGTATTGGCAGTTTAATCATAATCATTGTTATGTGAATTTTATTTTAGGTTTAGTAGGACTTGAGTCCATGGAATATATGATGGCATTAAAAAGAATCTTAATGTGAATCTAATAGAAACTGTATTCACAATTAATTCATATGATTAGACCATTGAATCACTTTGGTTTGAAGAGAGATTATTTACTAATTAAAAATGTAGATTTTGAAGCCAACTGCCTGGGTATAATTTTAGCTCTGCCACTTACTGTGCATTTCTGAGCAAGTATTATAATTTAATTTCTATGCCTCAATTTCTTTATTTGAAATAGGAATGATAACTTTCAAAAATAAATGGTATTACTTGTAAAAGACTCTGAATAATTCCTGGCACATTCATCTACCAATAACTGTATGTCATTGTTATCATTAATGGTCTTAGGGTTTTAGTTGTAAAACTATTCCAACTTCAACATTTTTCTATGAATTTCTGTGTAATTGTTTCTTTCTTTTTTTTTTTTTTTTTTTTAATATATTTTATTGATTTTTAACAGAAAGGGAGAGACATAGAGAGCTAGAAACATCGATGAGAGAGAAACATTGACCAGCTGCCTCTTGCACACCCCCTACCGGGGATGTGCCCGCAACCAAGGTACATGCCCTTGACCGGAATCGAACCTGGGACCTTTCAGTCCGCAGACCGACGCTCTACCACTGAGCCAAACCGGCTTCGGCTGTGTAATTGTTTCTTATCTGACTGTTGTAGGGAGTCTAAGAAGAGATGATGGCAGTGCTGTATTTCTAAAAGTTTATTTTTAATCTAACATTTATGAATACCTTTTTGATTAGAAAACTTTAATATTATTCAGGAAAAGCTAAATTCTCCTTGCCAATCAGTCCTATTCCTTTTCTATAGGTACCTAACTTGTTATTTCATGATGTGTTCCTTTTCATATCTTTTTCTGGGTATTTACACTCATTTACAGTTATCTGTAAAAATAAATAGATTTAAGTTGTGTGGGTTTACATAAAGTTTATCTCATATATCTTTAGCTCTTTAGTGTGTTAAATTTACTATCATGTCTTAGAAACCTTTTTAACTTTCCTTGGTGTTGTGTAGTATGCATATACTATTATTTGTACCATTTCCAAGGTACTTGAGATTTTTTTTTAACATCTATCTATTCTAAATGCTGCAGCAGTGAAGCATGCCTCCTAGTATACATGCATGCATGTGTGATATGTTTGTTATCATAGATCCTGCCAAACAAATGAAATTATTGAACTTCTTTTATGAACTTTTTAAAATTTTTTGATTGGTTTGTTGGTATTATTACTTATTTGTATTATTACTTATTTGTAGAAGTTTCTTATATATTTTGAGTACTTATTTTTTGTTAGTTTTGTTACTTTCCCCCCTTCCCCAGTGTTCTTTGTTTAATTTCACATAGTATATATTTTGATGTACACTATAAGAAAATTTAGTTATTTTTCATTATTTTATAATTTTTGTCTTGGTTAAGGCCCTAAACATATTCATGAATAAAAGTCATAAACATTCTCTTGTAACTTCTATTACTTTTATGGCATTTTTTTTCTCTCTCTGTGTATATACATAATACTATAACTATATATTTAAGAATAAATGAAGTACAGGAAGAATCTGCTATTTTGATAGCTACCTGTCCCAATAATGTTTATTGAACAGTCCTTCCTCTTAGAACTACTTTGAAAGACTAACTCTATTAAATATGATTTATTGCACTATAATCTCAGACATTTCTCATAGCAATATTTTTTCTGAATATTTTCTTGGGCAAGGAAAACAAAAGAAAATATGAACAAATAGGACTACATCAAAGTAAAACATTTTTGCACAGCAAAGGAAACCATCAACAAAATGAAAAGACGACCCACTAAATGAGAGACCATATTTGCCAATGATAATGGATTGATATCCAAAATTTATAAAGAGCTTAAAAATTCAACATCAAAAAAACAAACAATCCAATTTAAAAAATTGGGCATAGGACCTGAATAAAGGGGACATACAGCTGACCAAGAGGCATTTGAAAGATGCTCAACGTCACTAATCACCAGAGAAATGCAAATAAAAACCACAATGAGGTATTACCTCACACCTGTCAATGGCTATTATCAATAAATCAACAAACAAGTGTTGGCAAGGATTGGAGAAAAGGGAACTGTTCTGTTGGTGGGAATGCAGATTGCACAAGCATTGTGGAAAGCAGTACGGAGTTACCTCAAAAAATTAAAAATGGAACTGCCTTATGACTCAGTGGTTTCACTTCTGGGAATATGTACCAAAAAAACCCTAAGCACTAATTTGAAAGAATATGTGCAACCTTATGTTTGTTACAGCCCATGTGCTTATCATTGCATGAATGGATAAAAAAGCTGTGGTGCACTTACAGAAGGGAATACTACTACTCAGCCTTAAAAAAGAAGGAAAGCTTACCCTTTGAGACAGCATGGATATACCAAAGAGCATTATGCTAAGTCAGTGGTCGGCAAACTCATTAGTCAACAACCAAATATTAACAGTAGAGATTGAAATTTCTTTTGAGAGCCCAAATTTTTATAAACTTCTTCTAATGCCACTTCTTCAAAATAGACTCGCCCAGGCCATGGTATTTTATGGAAGAGCCACACTCCAGGGGCCAAGAAGCCGCATGTGGCTCGCGAGCCATGGTTTGCCGACCACTGTGCTAAGTGAAATAAGCCAGTCAGAGAGAGACAGGTACTATATGACTTCACTCATATGTGGAATCTAATGAACAAAATGACATCAAGCAAAATATAGACAAAACCATAGAAAGAGCGGGCTGACACCTGTCAGTGGGGTGGGGGGCTGGGAGTGGAAGGATTGAGAAAAAATTTAAAAAACTCATGGACACAGACAACTGTGGGGATTGCTGGGGCAGAGGTGGCAGGGAGGGAGGTGGAGGAGGGGGTAAATGGTGATGGAAGGAGACTTGGGTGGTGAAGACAATATAGGTACAGATTATGTGTTGTGGAATTGTACATCTGAAACTTGTAAAATTTTGTTAGTGTCACCCCAATAAATTAAATAAAAAATGAAAACAAAAATCTGTCTTTCAGGTCTCTTGCTTTATTGATTTGTTATCTATTCTTTCCCAATATCACAATATTTTAATCATTAGAATTCTGTATGTGTTTTGATATGAGGTAGGCAAGTTTATCTCATGGTTCTTATTCAAAGTTATGTTTGCTATTTTGTGCATTTTTAAATTTTGACATGAACTTTGCAGTTAGCTTTTCAGATTTCATATTTTATAATTTTATTTGGATTACATTAAATTACAGATTAATTTGTGGAGAACTTAAGTTTTCTAACAGGAAAAATAATATGTTTCTGGCTTTTTATATTCTATGTAGTTTCTTAACTTTGAAATATATCAAATAAATATAAGAGTAGAGTATAATATAGCAAACACCAAACTTTATTAGACCTTAATGTTATGCTATACATTTCCTTTATCATTTTTTAAATAATAAAACATTAAATACAGAGAGGAGAGCTCCCGGTATAGGTCTAGGTTTTCCCCCTTCTCCTTTCCTTCATTCCAGAGATACCATAGCCTTAAATATGGCCAAGAAAGGTATTTTTATTTGATAAAGGGGATATATTATTATGTGCCATGCTTACTTGCTAGGGTCATTTATATGCTCATGTTTTTGTTTTGTAGAGAGTATCCATGGATGGATTATGTTGTAAGTTGAAACCCTAATAGAAAAGCCAATAGGATGGTTTTTGAAGTGTCTGGAATTTTGTGATTTCTGTGATTTTGTGATTGTTTCACGTTTCCTTGTATATATACCTGATAACTTTAATACAGTAATTTTAAAGTGTTTTTCCAAATCAGAGTTTTTTCTTACTTCCCATATGTTTCAGGTTCAATTCCAAACTGACCATAGTTCCCTGAGAGATTGTTGTGTTCAGCTCACATATTAATGCATAATGTCTGCCAGATGGTACAAAGTGGTAGACGTCTTACTGTTCTAAATGTGCAGTGTACTGTTACCATATTTCAGCCTCATTCACAATCTACTGATGTTCCTTACAAACCTTTAGGTCATTTTATATTTGTGCAAACCTTTTAGATCATCTTATATTTTCATATATTTCAGCTCATCTCAGAATAAAATATGTGGATATTTTTTTGTTTTTGTCAACTTTAGCTCTTACTTGGTTCTGTTTTAATTTCTCAGGTACTAATTTCAGTGAAGAGGATTTTCTTTTGCTGGAGCTTCTACACTGGTTTAAGGAAGAATTTTTTCAGTGGGTGAATGACATTTTGTGCAGCAAATGTGGTGGCAAGACAAAGTCTAGAGGTGAAGGATTATTTCCCACTGAAGATGAGTTGAAGTGGGGTGCAAACAGAGTGGAAGATCATTATTGTGAGGCGTGCCAGTTCAGCAATCGGTTCCCAAGGTGGGTATCCATTGGACAGTCAAGTCTTAATGGAATGGGTAGAAGAAAATTTTTATTTTTTCATCTTCATTTTAATTATTAGGACAAGGAACAACAAGGTATGACTGGCAGGCTAAATACAGCCCACATCCTATTTTTGTAAATAAAGATTTTTTGGAACACACCCATGCTGATTCTTACACTTCCTCGTATATTCTAGACTCTCTGATCATTACGAATTTAAAATTATGAATGTTACTGTTTAGCACAGAGATAATATAAATTCTTTAAAATTCTTAGTTTTGAAACTGAATCAAAGCTTTTTTATTGGTATTTAAAACAGGTATAATAACCCTGAGAAACTTTTGGAAACAAAATGTGGACGGTGTGGCGAGTGGGCCAATTGTTTTACACTGTGCTGCCGAGCCTTAGGGTTTGAAGCTCGCTACGTTTGGGATTACACAGGTACAGAACCGATACGAACAGAGAGTAGTAGGGCTTTGCAGAATTAAGGATTTTACAGTCTGGGCTTGTCATGTTCTGTCTTGTACTTTCTGGCCTGAGTCTGAGCTTCCATTTGCCTTTTGTAAAATAATACCAACCTCACGGATTTTTTTTTAGGGGATCACAAAGTTTTTGTGGTGCACCTAGTATTTTGCATAGTACTCTGCACTATAAACATTCTTTTATTAATAATTTATCAAGCCATTTTTAGTAATGGTGTTTCTATATGGATACATGTGTAATAATATGCTATAGAAATCTTTACTTTTGTAGAGATTAGTTTAAAACTTTAGTAATCTTAAACCTTAATATACAAAAAATAAAAGTTATGTGGAATTTTGTTCTTATTTAGAAATGACATGTCATCTACATGACAAAAAGTTGTTCTCCTTTTTCTCAGAGTTTAACTTGTGTTTCATTTTTAGTATTTTCTTACAATGTAGAACATCAGTAATCGGAAACCCTCTTTAGTCTTCCTTTTGGTTCTGGATCTTAAAAAGTGAGAGAGACTGCATTTTCAAAAGTGACATTAACTTTTTCACATTAGCAAACTGATCCCTGTTTTCGATGCTTTTGTTCAATATGTTCACCCTTTTTAAAGTTACAGCTCACATTATTTTTAATTAAGCTTGAAACTGACTGCATTAAAGGAGGTATTCCACAAACATTTTTAAGGATTTCAAAGGGACAGAGAAAACAAGTGTACTAGAGTCTTGTGTGCCACAAAATGTTTAGTCTTAACTAAGGTTTAGAATGTTACACTTAACTTGATTGTGTGGTTCTAATCTTAGGAGTTTGTATATAGTTACTGGAAGTCATTCTGGGTTTGTAAACTTTTTTTCTTCCTGTTTCTCTCTGGTGTACCTGAGCAGACCACGTCTGGACAGAAGTCTATTCTCCCTCTCAGCAGCGGTGGCTGCACTGTGACTCCTGTGAAGATGCCTGTGACAAACCGCTCCTCTATGAAGTAGGGTGGGGCAAGAAGCTCTCCTATGTCCTAGCATTTTCTAAAGATGAGGTAGGCATAAGAGAACACGTTTTATTCCTAAGAATAAAATATAGTTTCGACAAATTTTTAAAGTATAATTAACATACAAAATGTGGCATATATTTAAAGTATACAAGTTAATTTTGTCATTTATATGACACTTATGAAATTAACCTTACAAAGCTAAGATAGTGAACATATCCACTATCCTGGGAAGTTTCCACATGTCCCTTTGTTATCCCTACTTCTCCCTGTCAGGGTAACCACAGATCTACAGTTTTATGTAAATGGAATCATATAGTGTACAGATGGTCCTATTTATGACTGTCGATGGTTTTTCAGCTTTATGATGGTGCAAAAAGCAGAAGCAATTCAAATTCCCTAGACACTGTATTTCAAATTCTAAATTTTGATCTTTTTTCTGGGCTAGTGATACGCTCTCATGTACTGTATTCTCATGATGCTGGGCAGTGGCAGTGATCTGCAACTCTCAGTACATCATTCAATCACAGGGTAAATAACCAATCACAGGGTAAATAACTCTATAGTGTGCTGCTATTAAGAGCATTTTCAACTTGTGATATTCTCAATTTATGATGAATTTTTTTCGGATGTAATCCATCATAAGTCAGGGAGCATCTACATCCTCTTTTTGGTGGGGTGAGGATGGTAGAGTTTAGTTTCTTTTACTCTATATAATTACTTTGAGATTCATCTACGTGTATCAATGGTTATTTTTAATGCTGAAGTATTCCTTTGGATGTACCATAGTTTATTCATTCATTTGTTGATGGACATTATATTTTAGTTTAATAAAATTTGTGGTTTTTTGTTGTTGTTTTTTTTGTTTTTTTTATAATGTTGACACTATTATAGATGCCCCTTGTTTTCTCCACTGTACCTCCACCTAGCTTTCATCCCATGGCCATCACCACACTTGTCCGTGTTTGTGGATCATGCATATATATTTGGCTTTTCACTTTTTATCGAGTTCCCTGCCCCCCTTCCCTCTGAGATCTGTCAGTCTGTTCCATGTATCCATACAGTACTAAGCATCTTTTTATATATTTACTAGAGGCCTGTTGCACAAAATTCATGCACTCGGCAGGGAGGGTCTCTCAACCCAATCTGCACCTTCTCAGCGTAGTCCAGAAGCCCTCAGGGGATGTTCAACAGACAGCTTAGGCCCCCTCCCCTAAGCCAGCAGTCAGACATCCTTTGCATTGCCACAGGGGAGGGAGAAGCGGCCGCTGCACTGGCTAGCTGTGAGCCTGACTTCTGGCTGAGTGGCACTTTTGCTGTGGGAGTGTACTGACCACCAGGGGGCAGTTTCTGCATTGTGTGGGATCAGGCCGAAATTGGCTCTCTGACATTCTCTGAGGGGTCACAGATTGCCAGAGGATACAGGCTAGGCTGAGAGAACCCACTGGTGCACAGTCAGGACTGGAGAGGGACATGGGAGGTTAGCCAGCTGGGGAGGGACAACAGCAGGACTCCAGGGGGTGTCCAGCCTGTCTCCCTCAGTCCTGATTAGCTGGACCCCAGCAGCAAGCTAACCTACTGGTCAGTGTCTGCCCCCTGGTGGTTAGTGCACATCATAGCAACTGGTCGACCAGGTCAATTGCCTGTCCCCTGGGGGCCAGTGTACATCATAGTGAGCGGTTGAGCAGCCTTAGCATATCATTAGCATATTCTTCTTTGATTGGTTGAACAGATGCCTGGAAGGCTGGACACTTAGCATATTAGGCTTTTATTATATGGTATTTGCCATCCACATGTCCACTTTGCCCACTTTTTTAATTATTTCTTTTTTGTCATTGAGTTTGAGAGTTCCTTATATGTTCTGAATGCAAGTCTCTTATTAGATGCTAGAGGCCCAGTGCATGAATTCATGCATGGGTGGGGTCTGGTCAGCTGCCCTGATCAAGGCCTATTGGCTGGGGGGAGGGGCCACAGACAGTTGGCTGGCTGGCCCTACACTCTGGTCAAACTCCTGGTTGAACTCCTGGTTGAGGGGGATAATTTGCATATTGGCCTATTATTATATAAAATATACTTTGCAAAAAAATTTCTCCTTATCTGAAGCTTATCTTTTCATTTTTTGAAGAGAATAAATTGATGAAGTACATTTTATCTATTTGTTCTTTCATGGATTATGCTTTTTTGATAGTGTATCTAAGAAGACTTTGCCTAACACAAGACACAATGATTTTCTCCTTTGTTTTCTTTTAGAAGTTTATACTTCAAGTTTTACACTTAGGTGTGTAATCTATTTTGAGTTAATTGTGTATACACTCTGGGGTGTGGATTGAAATTCATTGTTTTGCATATGGATAAGGAACTTTCTAGCACCTTTTGTTGAAAAGATTATCTTTTCTCCATTGAATTGTTTTTGCAAAAATCAGTTCTATAGTATACATTTCATACAGTAAAAATGGAAAAGGTTTTTTATATTTTGGAAATCAGTTTCAAAAAAAACCTAAATGTTCTGAAAACTTCTTGTCAACAATCTTTCTTGGAAGTGTGCTTGAACAAAATGAATAAAAAGCACATTCTCTGTTTTTGTTCCACAGATTTTTGAACTTGAAAAAATAATAGCATTTAAAATTTTATTATGATCTTTTTTTTTAAAGTATATTTTATTGATTTTGTACAGAGAAGAAGGGAGAGAGATAGAGACTTAGAAACATCGATGAGAGAGAGTCATCGATCAGCTGCCTCTTGCACACCCCCTACTGGGGATATGCCCGCAACCAAGGTACATGCCCTTGACCGGAATCGAACCCGGGACCTTTCAGTCCCCAAGCCGACGCTCTATCCATTGAGCCAAACCGATTTCGACTTATTATGATTCTTAATTACATTCTAGCCCTAACTGGTTTGGCCCAGGGGATAGAGCATCGGCCTGTGGACTGAAGGGTCCCAGGTTCGATTCTGATCAGAGGCATGTACCTTGATGGTGGGCACATCGCCAGTAGGGGGTGTGCAGGAGGCAGTTGATCGAGGTTCCTCTTTCATTGATGTTTCTGATTCTCTATCCCTCTCCCTTTCTCTTGGTAAAAAAATTAATTAATTAATTAATTAATTAAAGTAGTAAGGAGCTTTCAAGTTTAAAAAAAATTTAAAAAAACAAATTATATTCTAGGTATTTAAGGTTGATGGTTGTAATCTTGTTATATATTTGTATTCTGTAATTTAAGGTGGTTGATGTCACTTGGCGATATTCTTGTAAACACGAAGAGGTAATCTCCAGAAGAACTCAGATTAAAGAAGAATTACTTCGAGAAACTATTAATGGACTTAATAAACAGGTAGGTAATGGGCATTTGTCATTTTTGAGAGGATATTTGAAAATTATAATATATTCAAGAGCTGGTTTTTAAATTGTAGCATTATTTTGTAAGCAACAATAGTTTAATATGTTAAATGTCTTTTAATTCAAATTTCTGATGACTTATTTTAAATATTGTACTTTTTTTACATTAAATTGTTATGTCTCTTAAAGAACAGTGAAACCAAATTTCAGTATATGTAATATTTGGCAAAAGTATATTGTTTTATTTATCCAAGTAATTGTGTCTTGAATGTAATTACATACACACACTTGTTCATGTATGGAAATTTCTAAAACAAGTTACAGAAAATTGTTAACAATGACTGGTTCCAAAAAGACCTGGTGGTTCAAGAAGGGAGCTTAAGTTTTTACTTTATACCCTTTTTGTAGTATTGAGATGTTTTTAACTTATATATTTGTATGATTTTTTAATTTTTTTGCGCTTTTGGAAGGAAATTAGAATAGGAGTGGATCAGCTTAATGCAGTCATGATTGACATTGTAAGTGAGCTTTTCAATCTCTGTAAAATTTCACCTTTAATATGTAGTCCTTCAGAAATGCCAAGCTGAAAATCTGTAGTATTTACTAGATCCCTTCACCTTGGAAGGCTCTGAACTCCAATTATTTACTCGTCAGCACTTTGTTTCTGCTAAAAAAAAAAATCTTTATTTTTCAGTGCTTTAGCCTTCTTTTTATGCTTGGTTTCTTGGCCCCTCCTTCTCATTTTAGTTAATAATTAGCAAATTCCTAGAAGGGAAAAGTAACAGTATTTTTAAATTTTTTTTATTGATTTCAAAGGAAAGGAGAGGGAGAGAGAGATAGAAACATCAATGATGAGAGAGAATCATTGATTGGCTACCTTTACCACCCCCCCACACTGGGGATTGAGCCCGAAACCCAGGCATGTGCCCTGACTGGGAATCGAACCCTCACTTCCTGGGTCATAGGTTGATGCTCAACCACTGAGTCACACTGGCTGGGCAAGTGGCACAGTATTGGTTCACCTCAATTCACTTCTCTTGAGACCTTAACATTTTCAGTCTGGCTACATTGGTAGTTTTCTCTTACATTCAAACAGGTTTTGTATGTGTCTGTGTGTATGTGTTCACACTTTTATAACTTTTCTCAGTGGGACAGTTGATCTGATTCAGGTAATTTACTGTGGCCAAAATCAAAGATTGCTATCTTCGTTTTAAATCTAGGATAGTAAAGGTCATGCATCACTGGATGTAGATATAAAATGATCTCTTTACCTTTGTTTTTAAAAATTACTTTGAATATTTAGTGTCCATTTTATTTTCCAAATAATTACACATATGAAAATAAAGTTCGTTACTTTTTTTATGATTGCCTTAAAATACATGTCTTAAGTATATTCTTACTTACAGTTGGACTTGCACATTCTTCTAATCTTAATGATTTTTTAAAAAACATGTATTGCAGAGGCAAATGTCTTTGTCAGAAAGCAGAAGAAAAGAACTTCTTCAGAGGATAATTGTGGAGCTTGTGGAATTTATTTCTCCCAAGACCCCTAAACCTGGAGAACTTGGTGGAAGAATATCGGGGTCAGTGGCTTGGAGAGTAGCCCGAGGTGAAATGGGTCTAGAGGTATTTAATTCATTATAGCATAATCATCTCATTTTCCTGTTGCTTATACTGTGCTCTTTATTTACTGAAAAAATATATTTTCCATGACCTTTCAATTTTCAGCTTAATTATTAAAACTATAAAACCAATGATTGATTGTCATAGTCTAGTCACATACAGGAGAGTTAGCAAAACATTTTAAAATAGGATTTTTCATAAATTTTGAGTATAGTATAACTTTTACTGAAGTATATATAGAAAAATGCACAAATTATAAGTGTACAGCTGAACAATTTTTTACAAATTGAGCACCCATGTAATCATCAACCAGAATAAGAAATAGACTTGCATACATCTAGTATTGGCTAGAAATTATTGCTGCTGGTGTGATTACTGTTATATTGTCAGACTCATTTTAAGATATCTCTTGATTTTGATTAATCTCCCAAAATTAAATACCGTAATGAACAGTGGAAATAAAATGTCTATAATTAGAGACTAGGTGAACAGCTCTGTAATAAACATGAAGAAAGTACATTAGCCTGTCCCTTTCCCTTAGGGAATTTAAAGTTGACTCACTATAAAGTATTTTATTTTATTTTATTTTATTTACTTTTTAATAAATATATTTGTATAAAGTATTTATGATAAAATGAAGGTATAAGGCCGTGGTCGGCAAACAGCAGCTCGAAAGCCACATGCGGCTCTTTGGCCCCATGAGTGCGGCTCTTCTACAAAATACCACGGTCTGGACAAGTCTATTTTGAAGAAGTGGCATTAGAAGTTTAAGTTTAAAAAATTTGGCTCTCAAAAGAAATTTCAATCATTGTACTGTTGATATTTGGCTCTGTTGACTAATGAATTTGCCGACTATTGTTCTAAGGTGATAATGTATTGAAAAGAGCTTGATAGGAAAATAACCCATCATGGTATCAACAGTTCTAAACTAATTAAAGTTTTATATCTACTTTTCCTAAATTTGCAACTCATTTCTCCAATAAAGAAATATGTCTAAAAGGAGTGAATTATCCTTAGAAGCTTTGCTTGTTAATTTATCCAGAATCTTTAGCAGGCAGTTGGAAGTGTTGGTTCAGTCATAAAATTACAAGATCTAAATTCAACAAATCATTCAAATCACTGCTGATGCAGTGCAAGTTAAAAGTATAAATGTAAATGAAGCCAGTTTAAAAGAGCTAATTTAATTCACAGCTGTTCTCAATTTAAAACATTGATATTATTTAAGTCTTCATTTTTTTTTCTTTTTATGGATGGGTGTGCTTCCTCTTGTATGACATATAAGTTGATTAAACTTTAAAAATATGAATTGGGTCATATGCTCAGATTGTTTCCCCTTTTGAAATTTAAAAAAAAAAAATCTCTTATTACTGAAGACCATATTAGAGCCATGGATTTAAAATGTCATTTTCCTCTTTAGAAATAGATGTTTATTTTAAAAGTAAATTGAAAAATGTCAGTCCTAAAAATTTATGGAACTATATCTCAAAATGAGTTGGTGATATCCTGTGATTTCTGGAAAGAATAGTTTCATCTTAATCTTAGTGAAATATTAATGTCATTCTTACTCCAGATTGTTCAGTTGCATACATGGTATGTTCAGTAACATACATTTTTCTTTTCCCTTTTGCGGTTAGTTATCTTTGTAAAATATAGATACTGCTACTTTAAATTTTACTTCCATTTGGCTATGTTGATTCTGAAATATCTTTGTTGTTACATGCTTGTTTTGAAGTAAATACACTAACTTATAATACAAATATCTAAAAATAATAAACTGCTTTTATTTTACTTTTTTTACAGTAATAAGTCATAGGTTTCTACTATGGAATTATCTTCTTATTTATACATCCAATGTTACTGTTTTGTAATTCTTACAGTGATTACAAATACACATATGTAATTATTTTTTTCTTTCCTTCTCTAAGATACATATTTTTAGTGATTTTGTACATTCAAAGTTTTTATATTGTTTAATACCTAATATCCAATGCTGAACAAAAAAAAAGCATTGTCTACTCTCCTGAATGATTAGTAAATATTATATCAAGACATTAACACAGACTAGAGCAGTGGTCTGCATTCATTGTTTCAGAATCTTCAGATCCTCTCCTACCTTAGGGTTACCAGGAAAGGACACTCTGATGAAATGGTTTTAGGTTTAGGCTTAACGGATGAGAGAGAATCAAAGTTATGGGAAGTAGAAAGAACAGCATTCCAGACAGTGGAAACAGCATCTGTCAAGGCACTGGGGCAGAAACAGATTGGATCTTTTTGAGGAACTAAAGGAAAAGTAATATGGTGAGAGCATAGAGACAAAGGGCAGAATGACATGATATCTGGTTGAGAAGTAGGCAGGGGACAGATCATGCAGGGTCCCATAACCTTTGGTAAATGTTTAGTGTTTCAGTACAGTGGAAATCAGTGGAGTGAGTTAAACAAGGAAATAACATCACAATTTACAGCTTTAAAAAAATCACTGTCGTTACTATGTGAAGCTTGAACAGAAGAAATAAAACTTGAAAGCTGGAAGTTAATTTCAAGAGACAGTTATACTAGTCCAGTTAGAAAACGAGTATGGTGGAAATGAAGAAAAATAAATGAATTTAAGTGAGCTTACAAAATCACAAAAATATAAGCCAGAGCTATTACTTATACTTCTCGTTTTCTGTCCTGTAGCAGTTGGCTATATCAACATTATACTGATCATGTTTAACCTATAAGATATTTTCTGAATTTCTAATGGCACCAGTTTTTCATTTTCATGTTGAAGGAATCTCTTACCACTGTACATAGCGATCTCTCTCCCTCTTTCCCTTCCTCTCTCTCTCACTCCCCATATACATATAAAATCTATAGTCTTTCATTACCTTGAAAAACTAATTCTGTTTTCCTTTTTAAGAAAAAGGAAGCCATGTTGTTCATCCCCTCTGAAAATGAGAAGATTTCTAAACAGCTACACCTTTGTTATAATATTGTCAAAGATCATTATGTTCGAGTTTCAAATAATAATCAAATCATTTCTGGATGGGAAAATGGTGTATGGAAAATGGAATCCATATTCAGAAAAGTTGAAACAGACTGGAACATGGTAACTTAATGCAGGAAACTGTTTAAAACCTTTGTTGTTGTTTAAACATATGATTGCTTTCATTTTTCAGTTGTGCATGATGTGAAAACTGATATGTCAAAATTACTTTTAGTATTCCTTAAACCTGTAAAAGAAAATTGTGTTCCCAACATTTAATCAAGAGATCATAAGAGATTTGTGGATTTATAACAAGTGCTTTCATTAGAGGTTGAATTTAATGCTTTCACTGGGAAAAATAATCAAGTGTATGACCAATCCATGTGACTAATCTTTGCATAAATATACAAGGTATATTGTTATTTAACTTATTTACAAGTATGTATTGGTAGCCTACTAAGGTGGACTATAATGAAATATAGCATGTAGTTCAAAGTCCCAAGAGCTAACCATTTAAAACACTTTCATTGCATAACAATATGAATGGTTGAGAAGTAATATTAGTTATTTCTACTCTGTCTTAAAGAATTAAGAAATGAATTGCTAGGACTAGAGCAGTTCCCATATGCCAACTTGTATATTGTTGTCCCATTATCTAACATAGATGAGGTCCTTGTAACAAGAGGCTTTGCTTTTAGTCTGCCCTACCCCTTAGACAAGCACCAACAATAAACTCAGTTATTCAAATGACCTCACTAGATCTAACCAGGTTTACTGATATATTTTCATAGGAGTTAATGAACTTAATAGGGAGTCTTTAAAGTTAACTTGACAAATGTTGGAATGGAAAGGGAATTGTTCACTTGTAAGACCTTGGATAGATTAAAGAGTAACAGCATCTACTATATGCTTATTATTATTCTAGGCCAGTGGTCAGCAAACTCATTAGTCAACAGAGCCAAATGTCAACAGTACAACGATTGAAATTTCTTTTGAGAGCCACATTTTTTAAACTTAAACTTCTAACGCCACTTCTTCAAAATAGACTCGCTCAGGCCGTGGTATATTGTGGAAGAGCCGCACTCAAGGAGCCAAAGAGCCGCATGTGGCTTTCGAGCTGCAGTTTGCTGACCAAGGTTCTAGGCAGTAATCAGAGTACAGAAGGCATGCAGAGATGAGGCCCTTGCTTTTTTCTAATCATAAGTTTATATTTTAAAACTTATCTTGGTGATCTTTTTGTATTAAACAAAGAATAGCTTATAGCATTATTAAAATTATAGATTTAGGAACTTCCTTTTTTAGTCAAAGAAAGGCATATAAAATGAAATATAAAATTTTAAATTTCAAGATATGAATCTGTATTTGAATATGAACCTATAATCAATTATATAATTGATGAGAGCACTAAACAACTTCTTAGAGACTATACTTAGCCAAAAATATTTTCTGAACTGAAAGCAGGATAGAATAAATATGTTTTTATTCAAGGACTAAACTAGTATAGCATGCCATTCTTCCTAACCAGCAGTGTGAATGGAGAAAGTAATGGGAGAGGAAACGATGCTGTGTTGCGGAAGATGTGACATGCTGAGAAACGGTCTGTTGTGTGGCATATTTCTTCTTTAGTTACTCCTTGGTTCATCAGCAAACATTTGCTGAGTGCCTGTTGTGCTAGGCATTGTTGTCAGCTACACAGAAAAAAAGATGGGAGGTACAGTGTCTTCTCTCACAGTCTAACGGGAAACCGAAGCATTAACAGCCATCTTAACCACGATGAAGAGTGCTATAATAAGGATATCAACACATTGCCATGGAGACACTGAGGAGGGAGTAATTAGCTCTGGCTGTGGGAATTGGGCAAAGCTCCACAGAGCAGGCAGCATTTGAGCTGGACGCTGAAGGATGAGTAGGTGTTTGTAAGGAAAGGGAAGAGCATGTGGCTAGAGAGGCTGTATTGTATAAAAAGATTTAAGTCATGTAAATGAGATGCAAAGACCATTACATGAAAAACAGGCTCCTACTCAAGTAAAGTTTATGCCTTGATATGCCTTTAAGAAGGGCATTTTTTTAGAAGTTGAATGAGTCAGTTCTCAGTTACAGTATTTAGTGCCCAATGAAGAAAAATATTAGAATCTTAACTATATTGTGGAGACTAATAACTCAGAAGTGGTATATTTCCACTAAAACTTGAATTTCCTTCTAAATTAGCACTTTTAGTTCTGTACTAGCAAGTCCCCAGTTAGGGATTCTCTAGCTCCACTAATTAGAAGAATTCTATTTCTTTTGTTTTTTTAATTTTATATGCCAATTATAGTTGACATTCAATATTATTTTATACTAGAAGTCAGGTGCACAAATCCGTGCATAGGCAATCAGGGCCCATCAGAGTCAGCCGCCTGGGGGAGGGACCATGGGAGATTGGCCAGCTGCAGAGAAGGTTGGCTGTGGGAGTGCACTGACCACCAGTATCACTAATCCTACTAATCTAAACAGTTGGCCCATATATCTTTCTCCTGCACTAGTCTATGCTCCCCCTTGACACTTGCCTCTTAACATTATATCCCAAGTGCTAAGTGCAATGTCTGACAATGTGCATGTTTGCTGAATGATTAAATGAATTAATTCTTAACATAATGCCATACATCAAAAAGTGCTCTAGCAACAAAGAGTGAAAAATTGCTCGAAAATGCAAGGTGTCTGCCCTAACCGGTTTGGCTCAGTGAATAGAGCGTCAGCCTGTGGACTGAAGGGTCCTGGGTTCGATTCTGGTCAAGAGCATGTACCTTGGTTGTGGGCACATCCCTGGTGTGAGGTGTGCAGGAGGCAGCTGATCTGTTTCTCTCTCATCGATGTTTCTAACACTCTATACCTCTCCCTTCCTCTCTGTAAAAAATTAATAAAAAATATATTCTAAAAAAATGCAAAGTATCAAAGAATAGCCAAGGGACACAATCTGAATGAAGACAGGGATTTTTGTGGTGGTCTCTACAGCTCTAAGGTGATATAAAATGTATTCCATATACACTCATTTTTTCTTACATTCACTAAACTTTTCTATAAACATTTTTTATATATAAGATACTATGATAAATATATGAATATTAAGAGTAGTACAAAAGTAAGTAAAACAAGACAAGGTCTCTGCCCAAGTAATATTTATAATCTAGTAGGCGAGAGACATAATCTCTTCTCTCACATATTTGTTGAAAAAATTCATGAAGAGGTACACAGTGTAGTAAGTCAATAAAGGGAGAAATGAATCCAGATAGCTGGGACTGGAGGGAGTAAGGCTTAAACAAAGTTCTAAGGACAAGAATAAGTTAATCTAACAGAAAGGAAAGAAAGTTCTGTGGAGAGGGCAGGGCAACTACAAGCAGAGAGCAGCCGGATAGCACAGTACATGGCAAGGCCAGAGAGAAAGACACTTAAGCTGTTTCTTGTCCTGAGAGCATTTAGTAATGATCAGGGTTTTTAAAAAGTATTTATGGCAACCACAGAGAGAACGTTTTTAAAAATATATATTTTATTGATTTTTTACAGAGAAGAAGGGAGAGGGATAGAGAGTTAGAAACATCGATGAGAGAGAAACATTGATTCAGCTGCCTCCTGCACACTCCCTACTGAGGATGTGCCTGCAACCAAGGTACATGCCCTTGACTGGAATCAAACCTGGGACTCTTCATTCCGCAGACCCATGCTCTGTCCACTGAGCCAAACGATTAGAGCAAGAACATTTTTGAAGGGACCAGGGCAGATGCAGGAAGACTAGTTTGGGAATCTATTAATATCACTTGCCTCCTAAAAAGTGTCCCTGACTTAGCTTTTTATATTCCTTTCAAATTCACACATCACTGAAAAACATACTTGCTAAGTAGTACAATGCAGTAAGTCCTTGTGCTTATGGAAAGCTATCTCTTTAAGAGAATAATAAATCTGTTCTAAATATACAAAAGCAGGCTGCATGTGATCTGTCTAGATTCCAGGATGGAGATTACGAAGGAAAGGTGTGAAGAATAGGCTTGAGAAATAGTCAAAGGGAAGGTACTATACAAATTGATAGTTTCAAAATAGTCACAGGGATGTAAAGTATTGATACAACCTAGGAAATATAGTTAATAACACTTTATTAACTAAGTATGGTTCCAGGTGGGTAACAGATTTTTTGGGACGGTCACTTTGTAAATTATACAAATATCTGATCACTATGCTGTACACCTGAAACCAGTCTATATATATGCCTAAGTGACCATTACAACCGGTCGACTGAATAACCACTCAACTGGTCGATATGATGCTCACTGACCACCAGGGGACAGACATTCAATGCAGAAGCTGCCCTCTGGTGGTCATTGCGCTCCCACGGCCAACATCCTACAGCCAACCTTCCACAGGCCCTCCTTCATCTGACTGGCTCCAGGGCCGAAAGAGAATTTCTGGTGTAAGGACAGGATGTGGAAGGGGCGGGTGTTTGGGGACATGAGAAAGAGCATGTGCAAAAGCACTGAGGAGAGTCGCTCTAGTCGGTTTGGCTCAGTGGATAGTGTCAGCCTGCAGACTGAAGGGTCCCAGGTTTGATTCTGGCGAGGGACACATGCCTGGAATGTGGGCTCGATCCCTAGTGTGGGGGGCTATGCAGGAGGCAGCCTACCAATGATTCTCTCTCATCATTGATGTTTCTATCTCTCTTTCCTTCTCCCTTCCTCTTCCAATAAAGAACTATATATATATTTTTTTTAAAGCACAGGAGAGAAACACCTGATATCTAGGGAAGAATAAGTAGTAGGGAATATGGAACAGGACAGTGAGAACTGAGAATAGAGAGGTAAACAGGTGTCAGGTCCCAGGGACTTGGATTACCTTGCTATGATGCAATAAAAATCCATGACAGTTCAGGCAAGGAAAGGATGTGATCACACTAGTGATCCAGAGGAAATTCCAGAGGCTCCAAATGGAAAAAATCAGAAGCATAGTATAGAGAGATGACAGTGGAGACTGGTCGTGACTCATGTTTGATTTCTGGGATGAAATGGAGTAACCCAAAATAAGGCTCATGAACAATACCAATTTACCAGCATTAAACTAAAATCTCTTGAAATACAATTGCTCTGCAGGATATCTGTAGGAATGTCTGCTGAACAATGAGCTTAATTAGAGTTAATCCTAGCAGCCTAAGCAGAAGAACGACTTGAAGAGCACACTCGAGAACGACTTCAAATAGTATAGTACAAACCGATCCTCCAGGAATCCATAGTAACCAGTAGACCAGCCTGGCATGTAGTAATCCAAAAATCTCTAAGGGAAGATCTTCTGTAGAATGTGAACTACCTAAAAAAGCTGACATGCAAATTGCTTTCAATCTTGAAATTAGTGGTTACAGATACAACCCAAAGAGCAAAGATTCATTTGTGATGTGCCTGCATGTCCTTACAGATGCCAAAAAATGGCAAGGGTGGATCGCTTTGGGGTTCTAGATAGATTTCCGTCTATAGGGGGGAACTCCATGAGGTCTGTAATACCACTGCTGCTAAAATAAGGGTAGCAGCACTCACCTCTTAGTAGTTCCATAAGTTGCACAAACAAGCACATTGAACTATACATAATAAAGACACCTATGAATTTAAAAAGAAAACAGGCAAAAGTGTCTAAAATAACTTTAAGAAGTTAGGAACACCCAACAGTTACTATATATACATACATATATATGTGTGTGTGTGTGTGTGTGTATGTATGTATATGTATGTGTGTATATATATATATATGTGTGTGTGTGTGTGTGTGTGTGTGCGCGCATATATGCTTTTGGGGGCGATTTGGAGGGTCTCAACCAAAAAAATGAATATTTGAAAGTATAATATATTTTTCTAAATAAATTTAAATTATTCATTCTGTTGGTATTAACACATAGACAGGACCACATTTGGAAGTTTATGTAAATCCTATTGTTTTGGTGCATTTCAAATTACCAAACTAAGTATGCATATTCTTGATAACTTCCTGGCACCTCTAAAAATGCTGAGTTAAAATAAATTGGCTAAAATGCTCCAGACAGACTGTATTATGTGGAAAAGATAATACAATTTTCAGTATAAATAGGGTCTGTTTTATCTGCATATACTGGTTTTTTTAGCCTGAGACCTTTTATTTGCTCAAAATGTGTTTGACTGTTTAAGCATTTAAGAATTCAATGATGATCCATTTTATCCTTTAACTGTTTAGACTCTTAAAAGATGATGCCCTCAGGGTTGAAAAATGTAAGTCTTAGAACAGGCAGCCCTCTCACATATGTTCAACAACTATAAACCTCCTGTGACAGTTAAAACCACAATTCTGGTTCAGAGCCACATAGTATAATGAAGACAGTTCTTGGGATAAGCTAGAAATTTGAAATTAGGCTGACTTCAGCCTGTCATATTTTATACCCACACTTTAAAGGGACATTTAAAACTGCTGAGCCCTGAAAATCTATTACATGGAAGTATTTACCAAGATATGAATTTGAATGTATTTCTGTATTAATACTTTTTCCCAGTTCTTTAGTTCTTTACAACCCCCTTTCTTGTAACCCTGTTGTTTGGCTTATCTTTTCCAGATAATTACTAGCAATTTCTTTGAAGGAGTAATTAAGCTATGTAGAGCCAGTAGTTTAGAAGAGGTGAAATTAATGACTCCCAGGAAGCATGGGTGCAATCCTGAGCCCCAGGTTCTCCTTACAAATAGCTATGAGAAGGGCATGCTGTAGGAACACGTGAGCATTAGAGGATGTTATAGCGAGGTGGCCCTGTACTTCAGTGAAGCAGTTGACAATTATATACATCTAGGTTTGCCATCCAGAACAATTGTTGATTATACACATACTATAGGCCTGGTGCACCAAATTCGTGCATAGGTACAGTCCCTAGGCCTGGCCTGTGATCAGGGCCATCTTCCCTGGCTACCGGCAACCGGCCACAACACCTCCCTCTCACCCTGGTTCCCTGTTCACCATCAGGTGATAGGAGCCTGCCAATTGTGGGGAGAGAAACCAAGAGGTTGGCCGTTCCTACCTTCCACCACAGGTCACCCTCTGACCTGACACCGCACCACCACCCATCCCTGGTTTCCTGTTTCCCATCAGACAATCCAAGCCTACGGCTGGGGGAAGGGAATTGGCCTACAGCTGCCCCGTGGTGGTCAGTGTGAATCATAGCAACTGGTCATTCTGTCAATTTGCATATTACTCTTTCATTATATAGGATAGTCTGAGGAGTTCAAATCATTTTCCTTGAGGGAGAGGGGTGATTATTTAGTTGTTTTGTAATCTCCAGCTCATTGATTTTAAAAACTTTCAAATTAAATTAACTGATATATTTAGTTTGGAAGAAAAATATCCATAAGTTGCCAAATTGAATAGAATATCAATAGAATGTTAGCAGTGATTTTTCACTTGACGACTAAAGACATGGAGTAGGATTTTCATGTAGATGTGTCTTATATGGTACTTTCAACTATTGGCCCCTGAGAAGTAGATTTGACATTTTTAAAAGAGTATGTTTGTGTTTACAATTTTTTATTGCTTAAATACTATTTATGAAATCCTTTCAATTCAGAACCTGTGTCCCCAGAGAGCTATGATTTGGTTAAGTTAGGTCATACAAGTATACCAAAAATAGAATAGTTACATTTGAGTAAGAGAATATTGGTAGTTCAAGGTGAGATAAAATTTGGGAAGACTTTGAAAGCTAAGAGTTTGGATTTAATGCAAGAGCTGGGTGCTGCCATGAAAATGAATTGTAAAGTCATGACTCGTGGTAAATGTAGTATAAATGGAGAAGGTTTCCCCCACCCCTACCCCATATTCATTTTTTTAAAAAATGCATAGATCATTTTGGGGCCTCTTTAGTCATAATGATTAAAGAGTTAGATCCTTAGGGGTTTGAGCCTGGGTGAATGCAGTTATCTGTTCAAGACCATGGCTGTGAAAGTCAGGTTTTATGTCATCATTTTGAAGAGTTAGATGAAACTATAACAGGAGATAAGCTGGAAGCAGCCAATACTCTTGCATGCCTTAAGTAGTATAGATTTAAAGTGGTAAGGGGCATTGATGGTGAAGGAATGGGGAGTGTACTATTTAGGAGGCAAGCATGGGTATTACCTTTTGTTAAAGCATTACTTAGTAGTGGCTAAGGTATTTTTATTTATTTATAGGATATGGCCCATCTCACTTAGGAAAGCTTATCTGAAAATCCAGGCTTTGAAAAGAAGACAATTTAAGAAATAATTGCATTTAAAATGATTCTTCATTTTCAGCATAAATTTATATACATCATAAAATTTATTTTAAATAGCTGAACTTAATAATTAAAAAAAAAAAAAATGAGTTACCAAAATTTGATTGATAGCATGCAGCCCTTTAGGGCTATACTTGTTGGGCTACTTGTATTCAAATAATATCTTTCAAAGATATTATAGGAAAAACTGCTAATAAAACATTTTAAATGTTAGTAGTAAAAGTGTTTTCAGTGGGAAAAATTAGGTTTTTTTAATAACCATTTGTTCATACAAGACTTTGTATGTAAAAAGTTGACATTTTTTCTGACAATTCCTTTTTCCCCCCTCTTACTTTGTAGGTGTATTTAGCTCGAAAGGAAGGATCATCTCATGCTCATATTTCCTGGAAGTTTGATTGTGGGTCAGTTGGCCTAAAACTAGATAGTATTACCGTTAGAACAAGTAGTCAAACCTTTCAGACTGGAACAATACAGTGGAAACTGCGATCTGATACAGCACAAGTAGAACTGTCCGGCGGTAAGCATTTGGCCAGCAAATTAATCATGAAGTGTGTATTTAACACTCTAAAGAGTAATTGTACTTACTTGAGATGTAGTTTAGAGTTTTTTATACCCAAGAGTTATTCATACTATTGTAGAAAAAAAATTTAATTAAAACCTATATAACCTCATTCTAATAGAAAGGCTTGTTTGTTTGTTTTTTTTTGGTTTTTTTTTTTTGATATGGAAGAATAATAATAATTTGTTTCAAAGGACACATTTCCTCCATAAAGAATAGTATGTCTTTATTTTTTAAGGATTGACTTTTACCTATAAGTGTATACAATGCATCCCAAAACTCTTTTTAATGTTATTTAAGTTTCCAAAGCAAAGTGTTATTTTTTTTTTCCTCCAACAGATAAAATTCTTCGCTCCTATCATGATTTTTCTGGTGCCACGGAAGTTATTTTGGAAGCAGAATTAAGCAGAGGAGATGGTGATGTTGCTTGGCAACATACTCAACTATTTAGACAAAGCTTAAAGGACCAAGAGGAAAATTGTTTGGAGATAATTATAAAATTCAGTGACCTTTGAGAGCCTGAATATTATAGAAAAGCTGGCAATAATCAAGGACTTACCATGTTTTAGATTAGTCTGCTGGTTCAGTGCATGCTTAGTGGGCAATTTACTCTGCTAGCATATTTCTTTGCTGGTTATCCATCATGTAACGCTCATGGAAATATATCTTTGTACTATAGGCCATAATTAAACCTTGAATTAAAAGCTCCCTTCCATATGTGACTGTAATTTGGAGTAAAGTCTCATTGCCCCAATATGAGATTTTAATCTAAAAAGTATAAGCATAGTTTAAAAGTAAAATGAAGGTATTCATGATTAAACGCTGTTCATGATTATGATAAAAGTTTATGCTAGTAATAGTAACATGGTATTTTATGATCAGCTATTAATTTCTTCATAAGTTAATTGAATCAGGTTTCCTAAGATTTTTTAATTTTTAATAACTGTGAAAGTGCAGTATCTCATAAGTTATAATGCATGAAAATTTTTATGATTGTAAATATGTAGGCATTTAAGAAATAAATTGAATTATTTTGCTTTATATCTTTTTAGTGGTTAACTTTGCCTAAATAAAAATCTTTAATAAGTACACGAACCATTGAAAACTGCTTGAATAGACAAGAGTTATGAAAACATTGACTGCATAAATTTATATACATTATAAATCCACAATATGTAGACTCATCAGAAAATGTTTTACTTTTGATTTTTCTTTTGACTATTTTTATCTACCTCATTTAATAAACTATCTTGACTTAGAAACAATGTAACTGAATTATACAGTATTTATATGCTATATCAAGTTGTTTGTAAATGTTCCATATAACCTTTCCAGTTAAATTTAGTGTACATTTATTAGCATGTGTGTGCAAAAGCATTGTGATTGCATTTCGAAGGGGAGAGTGTAAAAAAGCCCCTGTCCTCTAAATGCCTTTGTGATGTTCTGCAAAGTTTTCAACTTTTCATACCAGAAAACAGCATCCTCAGAGATTCTCATCCTGTGCAATTCAGTAAGCTTGTAGATGCATTATAAAATACATACTATCATTCTGGAACAGAGGTTTTCTATTTCCTCTTTAATTGTAGTCAAACTCAGTTGAAGGTCACTTTCTTGATAAGTTTCATTTCAAGAAAAGTAGCTTGTGCATCTAGAGTTATTAATGTGGTTTAATATTAGAAATTTTTCAGGAATTCTTGGACTCCTGAGTTAATCATAGCATTGTATGGTGGCCAAATACATGAAATTGGAGATTTGATTCTTATCTGTCTTAAGGTGTCTGGTATTAGCACATGAGTATATTGATGATCAGGTGAATAAACCCACTTAACCCCTTCAGAGAACCAGGAAGATCAACAAGCAGTTTTATAAATCTATACATATAAGTGACTGGCCAACCAGCTGACCGGTAGCTATGACATGCACTGACCACCAGGGGAAAGACACTCAGTGCAGGAGCGGAAACCACAGGCATGGAAACGTGGAACAGATTGATGAATCTCAGAGGGGAGGGAGGAGGCTGGGAAGAGATTAATTAAAGATCTTATATGCATTCTAGAGGCTTAGTGCACAGATTCATGCACCGGTGGGGTCCCTCTGCCTGTCCTCTGCCCTCTCGCAATCTGGGTTTCTTTGGGGGATGTCGAAGAGTAGGTCACGCCGAGGGACCCATAAGTGCACAAATACATGCACCGGGCTTCTAGTATAATAAAAAAAATGTGGGAATTCAACTGATTATACTTCATCTGTGAAAAGGATACATCCTTATTGTGGCTTTAAGCAGGAAAAAGATGTGCTATACATTATAGAGTTGAACTGAGTTTCAACTCCAATTCATGTTATTACATATTTTATTATAGTAAATAAAGATTGGAAATAGTACAGAAGGTGTGGAACAAAACAGTTCTCAATAATGTGTCCAGCTAAGGGACAGTAGTCTGGTCAGGCAACAGTAACTTAGCAAAGAAGGACCCTTGGTGCCAACATACTCAATAAACAGGCACTAATACGAGGGCTCACTTTTTATAACAATCATTCTGTCTGTTGTGACTGAAGAGTGGATGTGAAGCACTGAAGGAAATAACTGCACCACGTTCCTGAAACATGTGATTGATTAGCCTTCTGCTGCCATTGTTCATTTTTAAAAAGAATTTATGCCTTGGATTCAGGTCCGATCTCGTCATGATGAATTTTACAGAGTCTGTTTTTTGTTACAGTGTGTGTGTGTGTGTGTGTGTGTGTGTGTGTGTGTGTGTGTGTGTGTGTGTTTTAAATAAATCCTATGCTGGAAATCACATTCTCAAGGGACAATATCTGATGCTTTGATCAGTTTACAAGGAGAGAAAGTGCCCTGGATTAAAGGAGGGTGAGGAAACCCCTTGCCATGGACTTTTGGGATAGGAAGGGTTATTGGAGATCATTTCACCCAGGCTCCTCACTTTTCACGAGAAAACTCAAACCCGAAGAAGTTTCATGACCAAATCCATCCACACAATTCAATGGATTCGTGACATAGGCAAGATTCACTTATACATCTCAGCTTTCCCTTCTGCTAAGCTTCAGGGTTATAGAATGATGGTCCTATTGTATGGGTTGTTGTTTTAATTGGTGTTTGTATAGGTTGTTGTTTTAAAGCCTCTACTATTGTTAACCTGTCTCATTCTCCTTTTCATGACCATAGGTCTTTTGATAAGTACATTCTGTTTGAGGAGGTATTGAAATGGCTATTAGAACCAATGATTTTTTTAGCTATAGTTAAACTGTTGTGAAAAACACTGTAATTTGACGATAGATGTGTGCTTTGTATTTGTGTAATATATTTTTAAATATTTTTTTTATTGTTGATAGTATTATAGCTATCTCCCCTATGGATCTTCTTTCAGTCCCATTACCCCTTTTTTATCTTCCCCAGGGACAAATATTTAGAGTTTATATTTAGAGGAATTTAGAGTTTATTTTATTTTTTATATTTTGAACTTTTACTATATACATACATTTAATAAGTGATATTGACTTGTATAGTTTTAAATATACCCAGCTAGTATTATAAATAGTATATAATTTTCTACAATTTGCTTTTTTAGTCATTTTCTAATCTTATGTCAATATAGACTTAACTATCTTAACTCCTGCATAGATTTCATCATTGAACAGTACCATAATTTATTTCCCCCTTACCAACCTGATGGCTCTCTGCTTTTTCTCAGTGTAAACACTGAGGTATTACAAGCAGGTATTATTACTTTTACAATCAATGCTGTCTGTATTCTCCTGTGAGTAAAGGCCGATTCTCTAGGATATATTCCTAGAAATAGAATTGCTGAGTCAGGGGCTATGTCCTTTTCAAAGGTATTGCCAATTGTTCTCCAAGAGGTTTAATGCCAACTTACAGTGTTATTTGGCGGCTCACTCAAATTTCTGCTTCTCTATATCCTGGCCTACACAAAATGTATTGCACCTTTATCATTTGTTGCCCTTATGATCTAAGTTAAATAGTATTGTGTTGCTTTACTTTGTATTTTCCTGATTACCGATGAGCTTGAGTATCCTTTTACATTTGTTAATCATTTGGGGTACCTATTGTGTGATTGTCCATTCCAGTATTTTGCCCTCTTTTCTGTTGGGTTCTTTTTCCTTTCTCACTGATTTTTATTTCATATATTTGGAAGAGCAATTTGCTTCATATATTTCTCTGCATATATGATCTACTTGGTAATATCTTGATGATCCTTTCTTTGTCAGACAGAAACAACACAAAACAGCAAAAAGCCATCTCCCATGCAAGATCTACTGAGGAAAATAACTTTTGACTTATAATCCCTAAAGCCAGTCTTCTTAGGTAAAGGGCTTTGTGGGAAGAAAAGGGACAAAGCTGTATCTGGTGCCAATAAAGAGCAGTGTGTTCACTTCCTGGTGTTCTGGAAGTATAACTGAATGAAATTCCATGTGTGATGGCAGCATGCTTATAATTTGGAGATGTTTCAGCTTAGGAAGAAATAAGTGCTTGAAAATGAAGGCATTCTCATGCTGAATTCTTTGGTGGAAAGAAATACTGTCATCTGAAATGTTATGTCATCCCTTGCAGATGTAAAAAGACTGCAGAAAAGGCAAAGAGAGCCTTTGATCTTCACTTAATAAATATGGAACCATCAAAGCACTAGTACTTCTTGTAAACTTAAATTTGAAACAGATTACACGCTCAGGGAGAATGATGGTGGGAGAACTTTGTAAAATGAATCACGGAAGTAGTTGCATTTCAAAAACTCATGCTTGAAAAGCATGAGAGCTATCATTTCCGTTGGATTCAACTCATCTGACAAATGAGTGTAAGCACTGAATGGTCGGGCCCTCAAGTCATGCATCATGGCCACTAAGGGAAAATATGATATTTTTATTAATAAAATACGATTAGCCTGAAAATGCCAGATGGCAGAGGAGTTGCCCAAAAGATAGAGTGCAGTTTTTCCTTCTCCAGATGTCTAACCTGGGCTGTCAAAGGTTCCTGTCCCAATGGTGTTTCACCTCCTGCTCTCCCTCCATGTCTCTGTATAGTCATTCGTAACAGTCCCTTGATATGTGCAGGAGCAGCAAGAATGCCTGCTCACAGCCAAAACTGGTTTGGCTCAGTGGAAAGAGCATTGGCCTATGGACTAAAGGGTCCCAGGTTTGATTCTTGTCAAGAGCATGTACCTTGGTTGTGGGCACATCCCCAGTGGGGGGTGTGCAGGAGGGGGCTGATCAATGTTTCTAATTCTATCTCCCTTTCTCTCTGTAAAAAATCAATAAAATGTATTTTTTTTAAATGCCTTCTTACAAATATGCATGCTTATTAACTACTCCGAAAGCATTTTTCAGTGGGAGAATGGAAATATCCTACATTTGATTTCTCAGACTCTACACTCCACATCATAAATCATGATTTTGGGAAGAAACTTTTCATTTTGCTTTGTGAGCTCATGTTAATTATTTTTCTTAGTTTGAATGTCGTGTTGTGTCTAAGCCCCATTTTTGGTAAATG